TGAAAACTCAATTTTTCACCTCTTGCACATCGGAGCCAAATTCGACAAACTTGCGCTTTGGCTTTTTACCACATATACCATCATGTTAGCCTAAAGAGCTACCAGTATTCTATTTAATTTACAGATTTTACAATGTATAAGTGAATTTTCATGTTTCAAAGTTGTTTAGTTATGAAGTGATATCAATGAATTCACTGGCAACAATACAGCATCACTTAACTGGATTTGTTTTGTCTGTATGGAATATACTTCCAGCTGAATAGCGATCCTGACAGAGAGCTTATTCAAAGGGAGATTAAGCTTTATTGATATATTTGGACATTACTTCCAACGATGTATATATATATTGTACTGGTATATCTTGTTTTGAGAGAACTTATTACAAAGCATATTTGGAATATCTCAATCACAAGTTACAGCTTTCAGAAATTTGTCATGTGCAAGAGTTTCTCTAACTCTGAGTTGTCTCAACTGTCTAAGCATGACCACTGCAAATGTTATTGACATCATGACCAAGCGACTTGAACTACTCTTTTTGTTCGATCTGAACATTCGTTAACCTGTTCTAATTCACGAAATTCCAAACTGTTAAAAGTTCTTCGCTTAACTTTTTTCAAAATCTGAGACCAAAGTGTGATGCTAACATTTTTCAATGAGATTCGGATGCTCCTAAACCCCATAAATCAAAAGCGTCCTAACTTTCCACCCATTTTACAGACATTAGGTTTTCTTTCCATTGACACACATTTTAAGTGTTAACCTGTTTGAGGTCAGTTTTAGCAATCCTGTCCCAAGCATTTGCAAGAAGGTACAAGTTGGTTGTCTTCAAGAGGACCTTTCATTCTGTCCAGAACAGTCCTATCAGGAACTTCTGAAGTTTATTTTGGAATCATTAGGAACATACACACCACTAGGTACTTTTCCTCTCTGTCACTGTGCCGGTGTTTTTCAGCCCAATGTCTCCAAAAACACTTTGTAATGTCACTGTATCTCATCAGTACCCTGTTGTGGAGTGAATACCCCGATACCACTTCAGAAACAGCATGAGCACTTAATATTGTCCAAGGGAAATGAATTTGAAGCAACCAATCGTGTAAATTTAAGAAAACAGACGTCCTTAAGTTATTTTAGACTAGTGGAAGCAATTCTATCATTTCTTTCACAGAACCTCCATTAAAACTCCCACATGCAGGAATAACAATTGTCTACGAGGTCCGTCGAGTGCTAGCTTCATGCAAGGAAAATGTGTTTGTATTTCTATCTAGTTCCTCTGTTAACTCATTCATTGACAAGGCTTGCATCTGGCCAAACACACCCTCCTTCATATCACATTTAGACTTTTTCTTAAGGGGACTGAATACTTCAGTTTGAAATTTTGGGTTTGAAGAAAAAAAAATTAAGATAAGATATTAGAATTTGTATTTTAAATTCACTGGATGGGTGATTGATAATACAGTGGTCACTGATAATGTTGAAAGAATTTTCCAAAAATCAGAATAATAGCAAACTGAAGTGTTCATTTAGTCGACGACCTGTGTTGAATTTAGAAGTAAGAGAAAATGATGCAAAATATATAATTAGGACCTTCAATTATCTAGAAATGATAGCATGAACTAACTAGAAGCCGTACAATGATTAGTTTTGAAAGCACTATCAACCAACTGTATTAAGCGGCAATCAACTTGTCGCGGTGATGATGCATGGAGTGGAGTAGCGTTTAACTCTCGTGTAAAGAAAGCGAATACTCTATGTTAGGAATATTTCACACCATTTGAAGGTTATTTATCACATATTTCATATGTTTGTCAAATTATACCAAGAAACTGCAAAATTAAGGCATATTGTGGCTTTATTTCCGATGTTTCTCTTGAAGGAGCAAAATCGTGATGTGCTTTGATATTTGAAAAGAATTTAGAGGGTCATTATTCAAATTAGCAGTGAATGATAGTTTATAAGAGTAAGAAGAAGTGTTTTAAGCTCATTTTAGAACTTGAACTATACTCACAGTAACCAAAAAACAGAAAAAATGAGCCCATGACAACATTTCTATCAACCAAAGCATGAACATGCAGCACACTATATCTGTTTTGCACTGTATGAGACCCCACTGTGTTAAGGGACCGCTCATAATTTGGCAGAGTGATGATGATGATTTTATGGAGAAGCATGTACAATGTGAATGACCCCCTAAAATTTATGTACAAAATAAGTGAACACCCTCCTGCATGTCATGAACAAAATCAATGACCCCCTTCCCCTTCCCATAATTTCTTAGCGTAATTTTAAACAAAGTGTTATGTACAAACTTGCTGAACACAAACATTCCACATTAAGGTTCTATATCATTTTATTTATCTGTAAACCATTGGCATACAGCCATGCACAATAAGGACTGGGAGCCGGAAAGTATGGTGTAACAGCAACTAAGAAGATAATGTCGTACACACACAGAGCTATTTTATGATGTACGCACTCGGGCAGAAACCCTCCATTCAATATATCACAATATATATTGCAATATCTCTTAAATTATTGCAATATATCGCAATATGAGAATCAGGGCAATATCCAGCCCTACTTATTACGCTTCCCTTGTTTAGAATGGGCAAGTTGAGTGAGTGAGTTTAGATTTATGTCGCACTCAGCAATACTCCAGCTATATGGCGGTGGTCTGTAAATAATCTAGCCTGGACCAGACAATCTAGTGATCAACAGCATGACCTATTCTGTTCAAGAATTCAATGGAAAAGGGAAACAGATGACCTGTTATTTTCCAGAATTCCCATGGAAAAAGGAATCAGAAGACCTGTTCCACCCCAGAATGGAAACAGGAATCAGAAGACCTGTTCCACCCCATAATCCCCATGGAAAAAGGAATCAGAAGACCTGTTCCACCCCATAATCCCCATGGAAAAAGGAATCAGAAGACCTGTTCCACCCCAGAATCCCTATGGAAAAAGAAAATCAGAAGACATGTTCAGTAGCAGTGTCTCCATGGATAGAACAGCAAGGGAGACAGAAGTCTGCTCTGTAATCCCTACAGACTGACACAAAGAAAGGTTGTTAGTTGACGGGACTCACGCTGGAACCTGACGGTGGAGATGAGGTTGGTGTGGGCGGGAACGGTGTAGTTACACTTGCGGTGCCGCAGGTCCCACACTTTGGCCGTGTTGTCTTCACTTCCAGAAGCCACGTGGAACCTGGGAAACAATGCAACATTAAATACAATATCAACAGGCTGGTAATATATGGGCACAGTCGTTCGTTCGTTCGTTCGTGAGTGAGATGGGTTTTACACCGATTTTGGTAATATTCCAGCAATATGATGGTGGGGGACAGCAGAAATGGGTTTGACACATTGTACCCATGTGGGGAATCGAACCCGGGTCTTCACTTGATGAGTGAACGCTTTAACCACAGGCTACCCCACCGCCCCTCATCCTCGATAATCTCCAGAGTATCTCCACTATACCCAAGATGCATCTACGGCTCGAGCCGATGATTTTATTGCCTCCCTTTGCTGGCTCCTCATTCTCAGAGTAGCCCGTCAGATAAGCCGCCGTTACAACCGAGCTTGCCAGTGTCAACAAAGATAGCGGTCGCAGTTGAAGAAAGTTTGTTCGCAGTGTGACTCAGGTTTGGGGGGAAAACATACAGACAAATTGACAGGTCTGAAATCTTAAAAAAATATACGCAAGAACTCCTTCTACCTCTATTAGAGTACCTCTGCAACAATATATTATTATGTTGCCAAGTTTAATCGGTTAGATAATTTAAAAAGCGAAAGTGAGTTGTGATTGGTCCACTGAACTTCCCAGCGTATACACCCGATTGGATAAAAAGACAACCAAGGGAGGTAATAAAATCATCGGCTCGAGCTGTAGATGCATCCAGGGTGTCGTGGAGATTTATCGGAACGTATACCCTGCAGATTATCGAGGATGACCGCCCCTATGGGCACAGTAGGGCTGGTTAGTAGCAACCTTTTTGTACAGGTGTCTGCATTGCTGTATGTATAGCAATATATCGGAAGTTATATATCGGACACTGATATTACATGCACATCCTATTTACTACATCCTTAAGTAAATATCACTAAGCTGAGTCAGTCTCTGCCATTTTGTAGTCATGGATGCAGTGGAGATAATAACCTGAATGAAACTTCAATATATATTTCTAATATTCTCTCAATCAATTTCCAGAGAAACTCCATTTGTGAATAAATTTCAGCATTGATGTTACCTCAACATGTACAAGTCATAATAAATGTTGGTATAATTATTTTGCCCTAAAAACCGGAACACACAAGACATAATCTAATGTGCATCGTTTCAAAAACGTATTGTACTAAACCAATAGTTTCACAATTCCTGTTGGACAGTAAGAAAACTGAATCGTAGTTAGACCACAAGATTTACTAATCTGTCACAGGTCAAATGAAACCAGTGATTAATATTAACAGCACACTATCAACCAAGTCAGTGGGTCTGACAACCTGATCTATAAGTCTCTTAATGCAAGCATAGGTTGCAAGGCAACACTTGGAACCCTGAAGCCCAGCTGCATGGCTCTTGTTGAAAACATAGCTACATGTTTTTTCGGCTCCTAGACATTCTCTGCCAATGCTGATGACTGCAACATGTTGAAAAGTAACTCACCCATCGGGACTGAAGTCGACGGAGAGGATGGACTTGAGGTGTCCCTCCATGAACATCACACAGCGGCCTGTCCGCAGATCCCACACTCGGCCATACGCATCCAGCCCTCTGGCAACAACAAATACATAGATCACACTTCAGGTACAGTAGCTCACCTATATGCTGTGATAAAATCTTGCTTAACAAGTTATATACATTGGGCACAGACTATCAGGGACCTAATCTGTACAGAAAACTTACAAGGGTTGGAGTATCAATACAAATCACTTGAAGATTTGCTCAGTCAAGTGTTATCAGAAAGCAAACATTAATCTGTGCAGTTGGGATGCAAAGATATGTATCAATCAAACCACTGGCCACTTGAACCTTAAAGTCTCCTCTTACAACATGGACCCATGAAGATCCAGGTTAGAATTGATCTTCAGTAACCCATGCTTGTCGTAAGAGACGACGAACGGAATCGGGTGGTCAGGCTCGCTTACTTGGTTGACACATGTTATCGTATCCCAACTGCATAGATCAATGCTCATGCTGTTGATCACTGGATTGTCTGGTCCAGGCTCGATTATTTACAGAACGCTGCCATATAGCAGGAATATTGCTGAGTGCGGCGTTAAACAACAACCAAAGCAAACCAAAACATACCCTGTGACGGCAAGCTCTCCATCGTTCTGGAAGGCGATGGAGTACACCGGTTTACTGTGTCCCTCCTGATGCAGGATCTCCTCCTGGGCTTGCAAGTCCCACAGCCGCCACGAGTTGTCAAAACTGAAACACAACAGGCAGGTTAAGCCTGGGGTTAATAGACTGAGTTGAGCTAGTAAACATTAACATGTTCTCTGGTACCTTGAGGCAGCACATATTTCTGGGAACTTGAGTCAATCACAGCTCAACAGATCTGAATGTTATAATTGTTTGACATGTCTTACATGTCTTTGACAAATATCAACAACATATATTCAGAATGGCAAATATGGCATGTATGTCACAGTTTCGTAGTTCGGTTAGTTCACCAGAAAACAGATGCTGCAAACATTAGCAATAACGCCATATTCTAAACATTAAGATGAGACACATGCAGCCATAATATGGATGTTTTCATGCTATCAACCACTAATTTTGTATGATCCCCAGGGAGTTGAGATTGCTAATACGATGTGCCGTTGAGATTGACATCCAGTGATCTAGGGAAAATCAAAGCGCCTTTGAGCATCTGAGCTGGATATTGGAGCTATACAAATGTTAGTATGTATGTATGTGTTTGTATGTGTATGTATGTAATCTTCATGACAAAGACGTCAATATTTACAAGCAGCAAAAAAGCAACATTCACGCACATTTCCTTCCATGAGAGTTAAAAACAGTAAAATCATATTATATATACAGGTACTTTTCAAAATGCAAGAAACGGGTGTTCATTCTTGAAAACCACCACCCTTACCAGCATGTCCCGAGGAATCGTCCTGAAGGGTGGTAGGCCAGTTTCGACACTCGGAACGGTGCATGACCTTCAATGTCTGCTATAGGTTCATCACTGAAAGAAAAACAATGTACCTAATAAGCATGTTATGAAGGAGTTAAATTGTTCCACTTTAGTTATTACATTCCGCTTACCATTCCCACTTTTTTAATTATAAGTTCATGTTTTATAAGAATACAAGATGGCAGCCTCCATGTAACCCACTGTTGCCATGTGGTCTGAAAATATACCCTTGGAACATCCAACAGACACTTATTTTCAAAGCATACATACAGGTGTAACAACCCCATATGGCTTGATCTTCTAATATAGTTGCTGAACATGACCATCCTATCAGATTGTTGTTTATTATGATTAGCAAGGGTTGGTGAAGACCATTTCTACCCTGCATCTCCACGGTTGGCGCAGTTGTTTACCACTTTCTTGAAATCCTGGGTCATAAGTGATGAGAACCAAGGATAACACATTTGACCTATCTGTCATTTGAAGCATGATGAGCAGATCCTTTCCAGCTAAGGGAGACAACTTGAACTGGGATGTTCAAGCATGCATGATAAGGACAGTTAAGGATATACGGAACAAACCTGACTAGATTCCAGAGCTTGACGGAACCATCCTGTCCACATGATGCCATACAGCATACACTGTTGTCTAGACCAATTGTAGCGTCAGGGTGGAATACAATGGCACCAACATGACAGTTGTGGCCTGAAAACCATAGAACGATTTCAATGAACAAAAAGAATTTTCTGGATTTCATCTTCTTTTTATTCTTGGATACTTTCATCTTCTTTTTAGTCTTTGATACTTTCATCTTCTTTTTAGTCTTTGATACAAATCCAGGAAATTCTTTATGTTCATCAAATAGCATCTTCTAAAATGCGAATCAAGCATCTAAAGATTTCATTGTTTATCAAATATTCAAACTATTAACCTTATTAACCAGTAGATGTCACATCCATCAAAAAACACATGATCAGACTTCTAAAGTAACAGTTAAGCAATTCCATGGTTTATGCAAAACTGTTTTCCACACACTGACAAAATTACAGTCAGACCCTGTTGTATCAAACTCTGATGGGTCGTATCCCCTGTTACGTCAAACTCACAGTTTGATCAGAGTTTGATCTCACTTTCCTCTCAAAAACATTGAACTGGATGTGTCCCGGTAGTCATATAGATGCATAAATTAAATGTTTTTATTTCATATCACAAACTTTCTCTTTGTGCTAACATGAAGGAATATAGAGCATTTGCTTTCTCACTGCCAAGTCAAATAATGACATGTTCAAATAAGTAAGTCAAACCATGATAAGTCCAACTATTTCCTCTAGACATCAACACAACTGGTTTTAACTGTCTATAAAGCAGCACTTGAACTTTCAGCTTATTGTTTCAAAGTAATTTTAATCAAAACTGCTATATGGACAATTAGACACTTGAATTAGGACGTACCTCGCAGCTGTCGGATCAACTGGCAGTCTGGAATGGACCATAGTTTACACAACCCAGACCTGAAATACATCAAACACACTTCATCATCATCCAAGAAAGCTGACACTTAACTATCTCATATAAAAACTTACATCTAAACTATTTCTGACGAACGGTCTAAATTTACAGCTAGCCAGCCCAATGGTCTGGTAAAATTTTAGATGTTCCATACACCTGAGTAAATTCACCATAGTTGGTCTGGTTAAATCCATTTTGGGCTGGTAACATTTTGAAGTAAGAGTACTTCGGGGTTGGGGGGTGGTCAGCAATTTTGTACATAAAAATATTTTAAAATTATGCTTAAAAATTACGGGAGGGGGGTCCATTGATTTTGTACATGACATGCAGGGTGGGGTCACTTACTTTGTACATAAAATTTAGGGGAGTTCATTCACATTGTACATGCTTCTCCATAAAAACATTATTTCTCTCCTTCCCCCAATCCCCCCCCCCCAAATTATGAACGGTCCATCACCAGATCTTATGTCTGGCTGGATTGTGGGCTTATTTCATACACTGTTATATCAAGGCCTCAAGTTCACATGGGAGGGGATGTACTGCTGCAGGTCCTAGAAGTTCACCAGTTTGGTCAAACCCCCACACAAGGATATGGTGCTGACGAACCTTGACACATAACCTGTGCAAACCAGGATTCCAGCCCACAATCCCAGGTTCCCAACCTGCACAAGGGCAGAGGTACAGAAAAGCTGCATATCTGTATAAATTAGGCGAACATTTATGTGAAAACTCAATTCTTACCAAGTCTGTTGCATACAAGTACGCTTGAATTTTTGTAAATACTCAATATATTTGATCTTACATGCATACACACAAAAATGTCAAATCTTTGTTTGCGTACCGGTGCATTGATAAAATAACTGAGGTATATTCAGAGGTTCTATTTCAACACAAGAACTAGGCAACTTGCAGTCTTTCTTATAGTTTCTCATATTACAGATCCAATATAAATAACATTTAAACGTCATTATATTTTTACAATTAATGGAAAATGACAAAATACCCAAATTAGTTTGAGTGAGGTGGGTACAATTTATTTGGTTACTCAAAGGAAAATTAGGATACCCAATTGAGATGTGCACAAGCGAGTACATAACGCAATGCCCCCTCTAAAAAAATTCTGTAGCTCTGCAAGGGACATAACTCTGCACTGCGAATTAGTGCCTTGTATGACTGGGCCACCAGTGGCCCCACGAAGAACCCTGTGGACAAGTTGGTGTCTGTCTCTACAAGCATAACTCCAGCTACATCACGACTTGGGACGCCATGGAGGCACTTGTCAGAAGATGAACCCATGTTTGGATGATGAACACCGCTTTTAAGCATGACTAGCTCATAACCTCTAGCATGCACTTTGACCCATACAAACTGTTTAAAAAAATTTAATTTCAGGCAAAAAAAGTATAGTTAGTCTGAAAGTATATTGTCTGAATCATGTCACAATCTGTATATTAAACACCAATGATTTCTGCTTGTCTGCGATGTAAATCATTTTAAGGTTTATTATGTAAATTATTGTAACATCTCAACGAATAACACTGTAAAAGTTATAAATCAGATAATCTAAACACAAATGTACAAGTTGAAGAACGCTACCATGAGGCGACTGCAAGCATCTGGGAGTCTGGGCTGAACTGACAGTGGGACAGCGGTCGGTCATCACCGATCTGACTGCAGTCATTCGTTACAGACTGGAAGGAAGAGGAGATTTCAATGAGAATACATAACAGGCGAGGGAGAGAGTTAGTGAGTCAGCATGTTATTACGCTGCTTTTGGGCTTCACACATTGTACCCATGTGGGGAATCGAACCCCGGTCTTCAGCATGACGAGCAAACGCTTAAACCGCTCGGCTACACCATCACCCCTCATACCAGTGGAGTAACACAGATTCATTACACTGCAAGTTATACCAGTGTAACATTCACACAGCAAACTAAAGTTTGACTATACATGTTGTCAAACATTTGAGTTTGAGAGTGTGAACATTCCAACAAGTCGCTATCAACACCAATTTCAGAGTTGTCAAACTGTTGTCAAAAAATAGGATCGGTCTCTATTTTCACCAACTTTTCCATCAAACTTTTGATGTTGTCAAACTCGAGTTTGTCGTGTGAAGTGTTGTCAAACTCGAGTTGTTCAGAAACAACCAATCACAGTCAACGAAATTATCATGTGACCGCACCGATAGAGACATGGCCCTCAAATAACACTAAAATTTGACAACATGTGTTTGACGTGTCTGAAAACGACAGTTTGACAACTTTAAAATTTTAACAACATGTGTTGTCAAACTTAAGTTTGCTGTGTGAAGGCCGCTTTACATGAATAATGTGAATATTGTCCCAACAGCCATCAACCATGGCCAATAAACATACCTGCCTCGTGCTTGACCTGTACCACTTATTGGTTAATTTATCTGTGCCACTTATTTTTTTTATTGATATATTTATCTATGCCTCTTGTTAAACTTATTAAGTATGCCACATGTTAATCTTTATATCTGTACCACTTATTGATTTATTCACCTGTGTCACTTATAGATATTGATCTGTACCACTTATTGATTTATACATCTGTGTCACTTATAGATATTGATCTATACCACTTATTGATTTATTCCTGTGTCACTTGTAGATATTGATCTGTACCACTTATTGATTTATTCATCTGTGAAACTTATAGATATTAATCTGTACCACTTATTGATTTATTCATCTGTGTCACTTATAGATATTGATCTGTACCACTTATTGATTTATACATCTGTGTCACTTATAGATATTGATCTATACCACTTATTGATTTATTCATGTGTCACTTGTAGATATTGATCTGTACCACTTATTGATTTATTCATCTGTGAAACTTATAGATATTGATCTGTACCACTTATTGATTTATTCATCTGTCACTTGTAGATATTGATCTGTACCACTTATTGATTTATTCATCTGTGTCACTTGTAGATATTGATCTGTACCACTTATTGATTTATTAATCTGTCACTTATAGATATTGATCTGTACCACTTATTGATTTATTCATCTGTCACTTGTAGATATTGATCTGTACCACTTATTGATTTATTCATCTGTCACTTGTAGATATTGATCTGTACCACTTATTGATTTATTCATCTGTGTCACTTGTATATATTGATCTGTACCACTTATTGATTTATTCATCTGTGACACTTATAGATATTGATCTGTACCACTTATTGATTTATTCATCTATGACACTTATAGATACTGATCTGTACCACTTATTGATTTATTCATCTGTGTCACTTGTAGATATTGATCTGTACCACTTATTGATTTATTCATCTGTGTCACTTGTAGATATTGATCTGTACCACTTATTGATTTATTCATCTGTGTCACTTGTAGATATTGATCTGTACCACTTATTGATTTAGCTGGCTTCCATATCGTCATTATCACCAGTCAGTGCTATGACACCACCAACCCTCCCCTGTACCGTCTCCCTTTCCCTGTCTTTGTCCATTACCAATCAGCACTTAATAACCAATCAGTACTATTTACACCTGGATTTACTTTAGGGTTCTATTTGTCCACTGCTGCTGGATCATTACCAGTCAATACCAATTAACCACTGGCCTCCCTTGCCAGGGAATATATGTCTTTATATATTCTTCATGTACCACTGTTGGTTGGTTGAGGAATAAACTTGTCTGTCTGTCTGTCTGCTCAGTGTGCACCTGTAATCTCATCAGTTCTGTAGTTCCCAATGCATATTGCTTTCTGCTTGTTAGCTTTCATTCACCCGATGGGGAGTAAGAACATACTCCGAAACGTTATGTTCCTCATATTGAAGATGTGAATAATGACTGTTTGTAAATGCTCAGCGTAACTGTTCAACAACCTGCTATCGCAGATTCTCTAAATTTACAGTACTGAAATAATTATCATCCTGCGCTGGGGTGTGATAGCAAGTACAGTGAAACCTGCCAACACCGGGACCTGTCTAATCCGGCACACTTTTAAAACCAACATAACATTTTGGCCCCGCCATTTAACAATGATAGTATGATCATTAAAACATTGTCTAATCCGGCACCTGTCTATTTCGTATTCCGGCACGACTTTCCGGTCCCAACAAGCAATTTGAACTGTAATTAACACTTTCTAAACCAGCATGGGTATGAACAGTCCAATCAAGGACCCATAATCCAATACACTAATTAAATCTCATGGCACGATAGATAATCAGGAAGTAGTGATTGTGCGGTGAATCAAAAGCTCTAAGCCGACATGGGTATGTGACAAGTGTAGAAGAGTAAATAAATAGGCATTGGTTTTATTGACTCGTCAGTCACTTTGTGTGTCATGATGGTTACACCAACTACGCGGGCACATTTGGAGTTAACACTTGTTAACAAATTCAGCTTATCAAAGGCATTATGGACATAAAGAGATTGACGAGTGTAAATGGCAGCCATGTTGGAAAATGATCGTCCTGTCTAATCCTGCATTTTATTTCGGTCCTGTGGGGTGCCGGTTTACGCAGGTTTCACTTTATTCTTGCCCCAGATCAGTACTTGGTACATGGTATACAGTAGCTGCAGACTTCAATGCACTGACTAAGTCACTGCAAGAGTAACAGACATCAGGTTGGTTTGGTTGTCGTTTAACGCCACACTCAGCAATATTCCAGCTATATGGTGGCGGTCTACAAATAATTGAGTCTGGACCAGATAAACAGCATGAGCATGGATCTACGCTTGGGATGCGATGACATGTGTCAACCAAGTCAGCGAGTCTCACCACCAGATCCCGTTAGTCGCATTTTATGACAAGCATGGGTTGCTGAAGATCTATACTAACCCGGACCTTCATGGGTAACAGACATAAGGATCGTCTGAAGCGGGGTTAATGAAGATCTGTAGTGAAAGCAAGCTACTGACTGACTGACTGAGTTTGGTCTTACGCCGCTTTTAGCAATATTCCAGCAACATCACGGCGAGGGACACCAGAAATGGGCTTCACACGTTGTACCCATGTGGGGATTCGAACCCGGGTCTTTGGCGTGACCAGCCAACGCTTTAACCACAAGGCTACCCCACAGCCCAAGCAAGCTACTGAATGCAAAAGAGGCTGAATGATTCCTCAATACATATAATGTTGTGACGAAAACATATTGGAAAGATAAAGACATTCCTCTGAAAACAAACTTACCCTTATTCTCTTCTGCAGCTCCTGCATCTGAGCGTTCTTCTGTGCCATGGGAGTCAGTTTGCTTTCTCGTTCTCTGCTAACCCTCTCCTTCTCTCTAAAAACAAGAGAATAGGGTTGTTACGATTCATTCGCTTATTCAGTGAATTGAACTGTATCGCTTTATGAATTCAATTTATTAATCATAATCACTAGAATAATATATTCATGAATTTTCTAAAACAGATTGTTTTTACTTGAATTGGATGTTATTTATCAACCAATGTATGCAAAAATGGAACATAGCCAAGCTAGGCAGGGTAATGGTCAACATTCCTATATATTTCATTTGACAGTAATGCTGGAATATCGTTGTGTAAAACAACAATCAAACAGAATAAACAACAAAGATATTGGGATCGTCCCCTACAGCTTCCTATTCTGTGATATTGGGCGTACCTTGGTATTGAGTAGTCAGACAGCCAGTATCGGGCATCCTTCAAGCTCTCCGTACCTTCATGATACCATGTGATATTCTCCTGAAAAGACATTATACTAGTGAGGTGAGGTGAGGTGAGGTGAGGTGAGGTGAGGTGAGGTGAGGTGAGGTGAGGTGAGGTGAGGTGAAATTGGGTTTAACGTCGTACTTGAGAATATTTCGCTCATATGACGACGTGCATGCGTGTGTATGTGTATGTGCGGCTGCTTGTACTAGCCCAGACTTAAGATGGTTTTATAGTGCTGGCCCACTGAGATACCATGCCGCAGTGAAGCATGAATACCCCACTCAGACACATTAAACTGACTCCGAGCCGACCAGTCCTTGTTGTACCCATTTATGCCGAGCGCCAGGCAGGGATCAACAAGTACCATATTTTAACGTCTTTTGGTATGATGCGGTCGAGGATCGAACCCGCAACCTTCCGCTCTCCGGGCGGACGCTCTAACCACTACACCACGGAGGCGGTCGACATTATACTGGTAACACATGTCAAAAACATACAAACATATTCAGAGAAAACAAACTTGTTGTCAGAAATCTGAAAGTTCCATTGCTCTTGATTCTTGTATAAAAAAATTCATAAGAAAATTATATGCACTTCTGCATTAATGACCTTGACCTGCAATTTCAGCCAATCATATGCTTGATTATTTTTAGTTGGAAACATGGGTTTCAGATCTTGTCACACAAACAAAGGAGGCTTACGACTGACCCTTGCAACATTGACCATCTTAAATGACCTTGACATTACCCAAGGAGCTCCTTAAATGCATGCAAAAGTATGTGCAATGAGTCATAGAATGATGCATATCTCAACTAAAAATGTAATTTTTTGACTAAAATTGATATTTATCCTGACTCATGTTAAATGCTTGTCTCCTTCTTCTTGCGAATGATAGTGAAACACTTGAAATCCAATGGAGTTCCCTTCTAAAAAAGCGGACGTAAAATCATCACTCACCCACGAGTGGCCTCCCTTGCCCCTTTGGCTCCCTTTTCGTAACATGACCAGCCATGTTTTGTCACTCTCTCCATATGAATGCCTGACACCCAGATTTACAGGGAAATCCTGAGTGCCATGAGAGGGAAGGTTGGGAGGGCTGACCTCATGAGTCAGGATAAGTATAAAATATCAATTTTAGTCAGAAAAATACAATTTTCCTTATCCTGACTCATGCTAAATGCTTGCAGAATCTGTCAGAATCGGTGGTTGGTCAGGCCAGTTCTGGATTCACTGGCTGTTGATTTACGTCCTGTATTACCCCCAATGGGAACTTATATGACGGCACTGCTGATGATTCTGTTCTTTCAACTTCCTCTGATGAGCCTGGGGGGAACCACAATTTGTCAGATTTCTTCCGAAACTTCTCCTTACATTTTCGTGTGGATTTTAGATATACTAATGTTCCAGTAGTTATCTATTGCAGCGCCATCTCTTGATGCGTGCATCAAGTGGAGATGCAACCCTTCTTCATGTACGACTTATGTCCTATACAAGTACAGGGTCTATCACTCATGCTAGCCTGTCCTAGACGTGTGCATGGACTTGAACCATTTGCTCTCCAGAGTGTTGGTTTTCACAAGTCACATGATAAAAGGGTGAGATTTTTCTCAGCACCTATGTGGAACCATTAGTTGTTGTGCTACAACAAGTGGCCCAAACTGGCAGCCCTCCATAATTGTTGTAATCGAGCAGTTTCCAAGTGTAGACGCCAGGGCTCTGACTTCGTGGGGATTGGAGGCTCATGGAGGCTCAAGTCCTGCTGCTTTGTAGGCCCTTAGTATAACAGCTCTCATCCATATCGATATCGTTGTCCGTGAGACTTCTGTGGGCATCTCAGTGGATAAGGGGATGAATAGGCTCTTGAATTTTCGTCTCCTTGTTTTTGTCCTTTGTAGGTAGACTTTTAGTGCTCTGACAGGGCATAAGGATAGATCCTGTGTATCCTGTGGCCCAAGGACTGTAGAGAGTGCTGGGATGTGGAACTGTCTGTCAGGCTGGCCGGGCAGTTGGTTCTTGGCAATAAAGTCCCATCTCAGTCTTAGATGTACGATGTCACGATGTCTTGATTCAAATCGTGTTCGTTCAAAGTCCAGAGCATGTATTTCTGACATCCATGCTGCTGTTGCTAGGGCGATCAGGACGATGTAGATACATGTATGTGACGATGGGCTTGGTCACTTGAGTAAACAACCAGGGGGCCAACGATATTCCAAACGGTAATACCTTCCACTGGAAGTGATGTCCGTTGAAAAGGAATCTTAGGTATTTCCTTGAGCCTGGATGTATTGGGATGTGTAGGTACCCATCTTGTAGATCTATGCTGGCCAGGTATTCTGATAGACGAACTAGATGTCAGAGCTGTATCATCTTGAATTTTGCTGGTCTGCGTAGATACTCCCGGTTGAACTTCCTCATGTTGTAGATGAGCCAAAACTTCTCCTTGGAATTCTTCTTCGGTACCAGGAAAATTGGGGAGTAAAAACCGGGCATGACGAGATCTTGATTTATCTCTTCTACTGCATCTTTGTCGAGTAGAGTCTTGATTGCGTCGTCCAGTTTCTCTGTCTGGTCGGCTGCGTTGCTTGTAAGCGGGTGTGTGTGTGTGTGTGTGGCTTCCAACTGTATCTTGTACCATCTGCGTAGTATCTGGGATACGTAGTCGTCCTGAAGTATTCCCCAATTCTCCCAGTACCGTTGAAGCCGTTCTCTGGCTCTCTGGACTCCTGCAAACTTGGATTTGTTGGAGTAGCACTCGGATGTCTGGCGAATCACATTTCCAAAGGTATCTATGGACTTTATCATTATGACCACCCTTGATTCGTGTGTAACCTGTTTGGTGACTTCTTCAATCCCTCCTCCGAAGATGGATGATGCTGACCATGGGGCTCTGTATAAGGACTTGGTGAACCGCTCACTCCAGGTGCACGATGACAATAATCCTTGTCTCCTCAGGAGAGTCAGGCCCGCTGATGGGGATGCTAGATGCTCCGACATAAATTGGTGGTCCTTTTTCTGAGTCAGTAGCGCAGAATATATCATCAGGTCGTCTTCGTCGGTGGAGTTCTTGAACTTCGAGATGAGTGCTTCGTTGATGGCCCTAGACCTGGCTAGTCCGAAGAAGGTATGCCTAGTAGTCGTATCCAGTTGCGCTAGCTTCTTGTCTTCTATCTTGTAAGTTCTATAGCGGGAGTCGTTGATGATCTTGTAGTCCTCATCAATCTCTGGTGCCTTCAAGAAGGGTTCCATGTGATGTGAGGGGAATTTCCTGGCGTTGAACGTCGGGATATGCTGATTCTGGAATTGGTAGCCTTATCAAAGGCTGAGCTGAGACTGTCCGGTACTTGGGAGATCGGGTCGATAGGCGGAAAGGTGAGTGTGTCGAAATCATCGTTGGACATCTTGTATGTAAACGCTTCGTCTGTGTCCTTGGAAGGTGATGCTAGGTCCAGGCCATTAGCAATCCATGAGGTTACTTCCGTATCGAGAATATGACTTCACCTTCTTCCTCTGATTTAGACATCTCCCGCTCTGACGATCCACGACGACGTGAGTCTCTGTGTGAAGATCTGTATGACGAACTGCGCGCAGGTGAACGATCCCGATCTGATCGTGTATCCTCCCTGGAGTCTTGAGATCTCTCTCTAGGCCTTCTTGAAGGTTGATTCTTAGACGTAGTTTCCCCTCTGTAAGATGTGGAGTGCCTGCGTGCAGGTTCCCGATGTGCATCTGAGTCCGATGGTGATGACAACCCGTATCTACGATGTCTGTAGGGTTCGGGAGAACTCCTTCAATCTGCTTCTGCGTGGAGAATTCTTAGCGTCTCCATCTGGGACGTCTAAGACTGAGCTGACATTGGTAGCATTGTCCAGGTTCCTAACTTTAGATGGGGAAGATCGTCGGGTCCATGAGCCTTCACGCAGGCTTCCCTCTTCTTCCAAGTGCGTTGGAGAGACTGCTGAATCTTCACGCAGGCTAGTAGTCATCGTAGTGGTCTTCGTAGCAGCTTTCTCCTGCGCGAGGCGACATTCCATCATCGACATCATCTGGTCTGTAAACTGTTGCATGAACAGCCCCGGGTTGAAGTTCTGCGACGTATGTTGAGACTGCTGCAGGGATGATGACCCTCCTGACAACGATGAGGCGTCTTCTAAGGCATGCTGCACTTGTGAAGAGTTGACGCTGCTGCTATCTCTGGTACCCGATGTCTGCGTTGATGGAAGGTCTTCTGTCAGTGTCTGCACTGATAAAGTTGCCGATGTAGCTGTAGAAGCAGGCTTCGTCTTCTTGCTGACGACTGAGACTTCAGGTATGAGGATGGGGGATCATCATACATGTCTGCTTCTTCCGAGTTACAATCTTCTTCTCGCAGAGAAGGATCTCGCCTTCTGCGAGAGCTGTGTAGAGACTTCGGCGGCGAAGTCTTAGGGTAGTAGCCTTCTTCTTCTGCGTTGAAGATGATCTAGTCTTCTTCGTCTGCGAAGACGTCAGCTCCGTTGACGACGATGTCTTATTGGCTCCAGAGTTCATCACTGGAACAGTGACCTGTCCCCGTAAAACGCTCAGCAATTCACTGGAATTATGAACATCGGCAGCAGTAGTTAACACACGGTTATCAAGCGCAATCACTTTCGATTTAAACATGACTTGTGAATACTTTATTACCCAGTCCTTTGCACGTCTATGAATGGAAAAAAGGTAGTTATTGATTTCAAAAGTGGTTAAATTCAGACAATGTTAACAGCTAGAGCTGAAAAAACATTAAGTAGTGCAATCAGGACATAATAAATGTGGTTCAGCCGCAGGACAACCGGTACCTACCGGTTTTCATCAAATGTAAACACGATGAAAAAACATGTCAAACAATGTATAATTTAGATCAAATTTCAAACCATATAGTAGAATACAATCCTAAAAGCCGTATACAGCAATAATTTTGATGTAAAGGTCCTAAATAGAAAAGGATATGTGCCGTATAGGGACCTAGGTGCTCTCACAACCGTCCTCAAGGGCGAAGAAGGACAGAGTGACAAAACATGGCTGGTCATGTGACGAAAAGGGCGCAAAGGGGCAAGGGAGGCCACTCGTGGGTGAGTGATGATTTTACGTCCGCTTTTTTAGAAGGGAACTTCAAGGGATTTCAAGTGTTCCACTATCATTCGCAAGAAGAAGGAGACAAGCATTTAACATGAGTCAGGATAAGGAAAAATAAAACAAATGAAGTATTTGCATTTCACTGCCAGTTCAATGAGTTTCCTTATTCAAAGCTGTAAAGATTCATGGCAACATTACAAGTACAGTCATCTTATCGAACTGTAAAAACACCCCATTCGTACGGATATTCATATTATTCTATTACAGATTAAACTGGAAACATATGATTTGGGAGTAACTGGAACAAAAACTGCTTCCCTACATTTTTTGTACACTCGTATCCCTATCGCAAACTTAAGCATTATTCCCAACCTCTTCCTTTTTCCTCTGCTCCTGCAGCTTTTCCTCCTTCTTCTTTTTGACAGCATCTTCTCCAAGTCGGGCCAACAACTGGCGCAATCTCTCTCGCCTCTCTGCTGGACCCTCACCGAACAGACCTTTAAAAAGAGAATGTGACATTGAGTGGAATCGGTCATGAATGAGAGCAGTGAAGGTGAGGTGAGGTGAGGTGAGGTGAAATTGGGTTTTACGTCGTGCTTGAGAATATTTCGCTCATATGACGACGTGCATGCGTGTGTATGTGTATGTGCGGCTGCTTGTACTAGCCCAGACTAATGCTGGTTTTATAGTGCTAGCCCACTGAGATACCATGCAGACACATTATACTGACTCCGAGCCGACCAGTCCTTGTTGTACCCATTAATGCCGAGCGCCAGGCAGGGATCAACAAGTACCATATTTTAACGTCTTTTGGTATGACGCGATCGGGGATCGAAACCCGCGACCTTCCGCTCTCCGGGCGGACGCTCTAACCACTACACCACGGAGGCGGCGCAGTGAAGGTTAGTAAATGGAATGTTATAGTGAGAGAATGAGGGAGAGTTTGTGGAATGAGTAAGCTCGTCTAGAAAGGAGAGGTGGAGTGAGGAGATAGCGAGACAATGTGTCAGAATGAGGGAATCGGGGACAATCAGAGGATTAGGAAGGGATTATCAGTCATACTTGTACTCACATATCGGTTCACCCAATTGTCGCAGGTTGGCCTTCACCTCTGAGTCATCTGTCGACACCTGAATCTGACGAGCCTGAAATGGGAAAGAATGAAATAAAACACATATATTTTTTTCAGCATCTCATGTGAGTGTAGCAGCCATAAAAGTTCAGAGTTCTGTGATGGGATTCAAACCACAGACCTTCTGATCAAAGGTCGATTGCCTTGTCAAGATGAGAAAGGGGTTAATCCCACTGGCAAGCTGACATGGTAAGGATATCATCCTTAGAATGACTCCAAGCCCTGCTACACTGGCATCACCTGATATTCTACAGCAAACTTTACAGCATCACACAAATTTCAGTTATTGGGTGACCACTTTTTAAGGATGATGGAAGTTGCTTAAAACATAATCTGTACTTGAAAATGCTGGGCAAATAGAATCAAACACCAGTCATATTTCACTCCAGAAATTAAATGATCAGACAATAGTGTCAACGTCTGCAGAACTTTTGCCATGAAGTCCTAAAATTACCACACAAAATATGGCTGTGATACCTACCCGTTTCCTCTTTTCAAACTGCGCTAACACCTCTGCCTGACTCTCAGCTTCGGCCTCGTCAATGTCAAAGTGTCCTCCTATACAGAAGAGTAAATAGATGCTGTGATATCTTGTGAAGTTACATATGAAAGTAATTTCAGTGGCAGTAGAGATTGTTGTAAGTATGGTGTTATAGTAATTGTCACTTTGTCAATGGCAGCAATCAATTCAACTATTGGAGAAAAATATCATACAAGCTGTCACTGGCAAAATTTGAACAGTGGATTCCATGGTATCTGATTGGCTAACCAAACCATTTGTTCCACCAATAAAAAGAACATTCAGGTAACACACACCACTTAGGTGATACTAGTGTGGGTGAGTTGGCTTTGATTGCATTATTGCAAAGGGGCTTCAATGGGGATTTTTCATCTATCAGTTATGGAAGTATAAAATTAGAGACAGGTGTGCCTTTCTTTGCATAATTCAGAAAACAGCAAGCAAGATGAACACTGCTTATTGTGTACTGATTGAAGATCCTCAAGCCACATGTTACCTTCAGTGATGTTGATATTGCCAGCTTCGATGCCTGCCTCAATAGCATCATTAGCCATTGAACCTGAAGTGTCATCATTATTGATGCGACGTCTTTCCTGGTCTTCCAAACTCCCATAATGCAACACTTTCGACCTCTTCGGGACAGGAAGATCCACCTCATCATCAGACATTTTGCTGACATGGAAAACATTATTTATAAGTGAGTATGTTTGATTTGGTGAACAATTCTAGCCATAAGCATGTGCAACATGAAATTTATTAATAGAAAGTGAGTGAGTTTAGTTTTACGCCGCACTCAGCAATATTCCAGCTATATGGCGGCGGTCTGTAAATAATCGAAGTCTGGACCAGACAATCCAGGGATCAACAGCATGAACATCGATCTACGCAATTGGGATACGATGACATGTGTCAACCCAGTCAGCGAGCCTGACCACCCGATCACGTTAGTCGCCTCTTATGACAAGCATGGGTTACTGAAGATCAATTCTAACCCGGACCTTCATGGGTTGAATAGAAGGTGAAAACAAAAGTACTGCAGTTTTATATAATCAAACCTCTTGAATACTTATTGGGACATACACATTTGAAGTGACATAGTTTGACTGAATGCTGCTTTTTCCAGATATTATGGCGTGCCAGCTTAATGTTGCAGAAAAGTGATGCAGGTCTTCAGCATTTACCATTGTGCTGATGCTGACAATCCTATAAATATAATATGAGGATTTTTTCAAGAGAGATGCAGGATAACATTCTTACTAAGAGCGTCAACCAACCTGAGCCACTGAAATATCAGCATCAGACATGTTGTTTACATAGAAAGATTACGCTATACAAATTACAATACATTAAATTAAATTAAGTACATTACTTAAGTTCAAAACTGCACATAAATTTGACCATGCAATGAACTACACATGCATCTGTTTGGTTGTATCGCCGTTGTTATAACATCCGATGTAAACATGTTATACTATAATCCACACACGAAGCTTTGAAACGCGAAAACCGAGGGTAGAGGTATCTGGAAAAAGCCATGTTTACTTACGTCTTTATGGATTCAGGAGATACAGAATACAATTGAGTTTACTTGTCTCTCCTATTGAGTGTCCATGTCATATATCAAATGTTCCTTGTTTGTGTTAATGCTTCTAAATTATCACATTAAATCATGATTAGGCGGCGTTCATGTGTCGTTTTGATGGGCGCAGACATCTTTGTTCTGAAATCTCGACTCTTCTCGCGGTAACTGGAGCATACATTAGCAGTACGACTTATTACAAATCGGTAACGTAATATACTAACCAACTGTATTACATTCAGTGGAGTTTAATATAAGATTTAGTAAACATTTATTTTGAATTATGTATATGTATATTGTGTAAATTACAAAACATGATAATCACCTCTACACCAGATGTTCGTATTTTCCATTACCATTCGAATAGTTTGACAAGGTAATGACACCACACTGAATCTGGATAACTATTCGCACAAGTCTGCCAAAGTTTAAAAACAGCTCGAGAGGACTTGATGCTACTGATCTGGGCACCTAAATCGACTTGAAGGACTAAATATTTTCGACAGCTGTGACAAAATGCTAAGACGCAACCCAACACGAATTGAGCTAAAAATTAATGATCTTGAGGAATATGACAATATGAAGAAAGAGCTGGAGGCACTGGAACAGAAGAAAGAACCCAAATCGTTTCCATTAGAGAGTCCCACTCCTGATTCTCTGGAAGCCAGGACAAATATTAATATGGTTCATTCCAGGATTGGATTCGATCCTAAACCTCTACCACAGCCGTCAAGACTTCCTATTCATTTCCAGTGTTGATGTGGTGGAATGCGTGTTGACTGTGATGTGTGTGGCCCTGGGGTGTTACAACTACAAGAGTAAAGAAGCTGTGATTTGAGTAACTTATCTCATGGTCATACCAAATACGTTGTGATATTTGAATGGATTACTGAGAGTTTCAGTTGCAGTAAATATATATATTATTCTCAACATCCTCAGTATCGTAACGCAGTGACAAAGATGAGACCAGTTGCACCAAGAAGAAATGAGTAGCTGTCAAATTACTGATTCTGTGATTTTACGCTTGTAGTGGTTATTTTGCAAGGTAAATCAGAGATAATGTCCTGTTGGCGCCAAGAGACATGACAGATCTTTAACCTCATCAGCAAGGAAAGAGGAAAACCAACTTCGTTCAAGAAAGAAACATCACAATGCTTTTAGGACTGACATCTGAGTCACTAAGACTTACAGAAGACATGGTTTAATGCTTGTTCAGCTGATAAACTTTGAATTCAGGTCATAATAGATGTTTACGTCACTTATCGTGAAGAGTACGCAGATTTTGTATATTGCCAATGGTACATTATTCATTTTACAGCATGGCTAACCTTTTTAAAAAGATATTTTGCTGATGCAACACATGTACATTGTACTATCGACAATTAAGGTATTCGTTTATAATGCACTCTATGGTGTTCCTGTGTGTGGATTATTGTTGATGCATTTCATGCAAGTCTCTTAAAATATTAAAATTAAAGTGGAAAAGATTCCTTGTTTTGTGCATTATTCGGAAAGACTTCCACCCGTTATTCCTCATCGTTAAAGGCCGGGGGAGCAAACCTCTAAAAGCCCCATGGGTTTCCAAATAGTCTCCCATTTGCTACCCCTCAGCAGTGAAGATGTTATCAGCCCGTGAGTGACAAAGCTGTAAGGGTGCAATGGGTGCCTGGCGATGTCAAAGGTTAACCTTGGAATTTACTGCTACTAGAATAAACATGTGCCTTATAGTATATGTCCAACAACCCTTTCACTTCATATTTTGATGACTAAAGAGATTCATTTGATTAGCATATATGAAACATCAAATTTTTCTTATATTCTGAATATAAAATCTTCAGCAAAGAGATGTCAGCATCAGATAAGTGGACAACCCTAGCCCTGCACAGCATGGCATCAGGAGAGGGGGGGGGGCATTTTCCGAGCCTGCCTGAAATATGAAACCCTGAATGAAACATTTCCCCCACTCCAAGGCTTGTTTCTATGGAAATGCACCTCCTCTGGCCACCTGACTGACACAGTGAGAAATTCAAATCTGGATTTAAAAATGAGAAATATATTTTCAAAATGTATGTTTTGTAGACTCTCTGCATCCATACTTTTGCTGTGAGTCTTCACGACATACTCCTTTATACTATGACTTAATATCAGCCTGAACCGGTGAGTCAGTTTTGTGATATTTCATGGAATGTACTTTAATACTACATTGCTTTGCATCTAAGGACAGCTTTGACAAGGCAAGGAGGCCACACCCCATCTGTGTATAGGTTTGAACCCCGGGCCTTTAAAATTTAGGGGGGATACGGGCGGAAGTCTTACCCATTATTCCATTAGGCCCAGTTCAGATGAACTTGTCCTAATCATGCTTATAGGTGAAAGACATAACACCCTTGATATTGTTTTTATGTTGTTTAATCATGTTAAACCCAGCTATTTTCCAGCTATGTGGTGGTGGTCTGGAATTTTTTAATCTGGGCCGGACAATCCATTGATCAACAGCATGAGTTTTGATCTACGTTGGGAAACGATGACATGTGTCAACAAGTCAGCAAGCCTGACCACATGATCCCGTCTTTGATATTGACACAGAAGCATAAATGTTTACCTCAAAACATTATAGGTGTCCAGGGATTTACATGGAGTCCTGTATTTGAGGGTCCCTGGGACTCATACTCTCAATTTTCAGGGGGTCCAGGACTACAAAATGGGGGCCCAGACACTTAGATATTATTATTAATACTTTTATTTTATTGTGTATCATAATCATCACATTGCTACAGTAATTAAATTGCAAATAATACCAAAACCCAGCTAGTAGCAAACTCAGTGATAACTTATTGTCACTTGATTGGAATTTTTACAAAAAGCATTTGGACTTTTTCTGAGTCCCTGTGGATGTGCTAATAAATTTTGTTGCGTCTATTGTCAATTTTTTGGCATATAGGACGCAGGAATTCGCATCCTGGAAATGCCTGGGTGTCTGATGTATAAGAATATACTCCAAGACAACGTTTACTCATAGTACAGAAGTTGACATCCATATGTCAACTGAAAGCAAGATATATAATAGTGATGAATATTCAATATTGTCAGAAGCTGATGTCATGGTTACATATCCTACAATATAATATGATCAAATGTCACCTAAATTAATAGAAAATTGGTTTTATGTTTCCTGCCTCATTTCACCAAGCATGAATGCATGCTCCCATTTGTTACACTAGCCATTGATACGCACCTTAACACAGCATGACAGAGTTGACTTCACAGCTGGTAACTTTTTTCTTACCAAATGGTTAGAATAGAATCATTCTGACAGAGCAACACCAGAAGGAATAAAACAGATTGTTCTCAGCATCTTTATGTGTGTATTCATTTCTGTACAGAGCTATATTACATTATCAAAAATAGTAATATACACTGACATACAGCATTAAGCCCTTTTTGTGTAAAAGATTAACCTCAGCTGCAGTCTCACCTTTAACCTCATACAGGAGAGAGATGCAGTCTACTCATCTTGAACCTCATACAGGGGGAGTGCTGCAGTGTCATCTTGACTGACTGAGTTTTGGTTTTACGCTGCTTTTAGCAATATTCCAGCAACATCACGGCGGGGGACACCAGAAATGGGCTTCACACATTGTACCCATGTGGGGATTCAACCGGGTCTTCAGCATGACGAGCCAATGATTTAACCACTAGGCTACCCCACCGCCTCCGCATCTTGAACCTCATACAGGGGGAGTGCGGCAGTCTACACATCTTGAACCTCATACAGGGGGAGCGCGGCAGGCTCATCTTGAACCTCATACAGGGGAGGGCTATACAGATAGAGGGGAGGTAGTGCTGAACTTAGCCTGTCTTTCCCTCTGTGGTCTGTCTCACACTCACAGTCCCTGAACCACATTATTTTCCCCAATGCTAAAGCCCTAAATGAAGCAAGTTTAGATTCCCCGAGGTTCTGAATTTCCCACATCACTGGGGATCATTTTCAATTTGAATGGGTTAATTTCTTAGTCTACTATCACAATTATATATATCTTCAGAGACTAAACTCAACCAGTCATATCTATATGCATATATAAAGTAATCAGAAGCGCCATCACACAACCAATCCACGCTCTATACACATTTTGGAACACAATCAATTAATTGCCATAAAAAAAAATCTCTTCACCAGTCAACCAATCAGATGCTCTGTGCCATCATCGGTCGTCAGCCAGTCACTTTCAAGTTTCAACCAGCCTCGACCGTCAACCATTCCGGTCGATCGCGCGCCACTATGGTGTTCATTTAATCAATCAGCGACAGAAGTCAGCCTAAGTTAGTTTAGGGTCAATCAAACGTTAATTTCGAGTCTCGACCAGACAATCCAGTATTCAACAGCATAACCATCAATCTACGCAATTGGGCACGATGACGTGTCAACAAAGTCAGCGAGCCTGACCACCCGATCACGTTAGTCGCCTCTTACGACAAGCATGGGTTCCTGAAGACCAATTCTACTGCGGTACAAGCGTTAATTAAACAATCTAATGTGATAATCACTTGAAAATGTGCTACCATAAGCCCTACCCAACTTTTTCACTATTGATGAAACCATAATTGGAACCATCAGTGACGTTACTAAACTGACAATCAGATACTTTGTACCATCACAGTCGGCTAAAGTAAGGCCAGAAATGCTTGGAAAATGCTTTTTGGCAATTATTTGATAATGGTTGATATTTCAGATTAAAACCTCATGTATAATCATTCATACCACCTCGACCTAATATGGCATATGAGTAATCACGATGTACCATTCCCTAATCATAATGATTACTGGGCGGTGGGGTAGTCCAGTGGTTAAAGCTTTGGCTCGTCACGCCGAAGACCCGGGTTCGATTCCCCACATGAGCACAATGTGTTAAGCCCATTTCTGGTGTTCCCCGACGTGATATTGCTGGAATATTGCTAAAAGCGGCTTAAAACTAAAATATCGAAAAACTTAGAAAAAAGTCCATGGTAGAAACACTTCTAAGAAACAAACGATACTGTGACCCACCTGGCAGGCAAACAGGGTGACAGCGTTATGTAACGCACGGGAAGTACATGTCAGGGACCGTCTCAAGATATCAAGTGTCAGCATCACTGCTGGTGGAGGACTCGAGCGGAATTACAACAGGACATTCATTGTATCTTTGTTCTCATCTTGTATTTTAGCACACGTCGGTGGGATTTGTGTTCATACACTTATTAACTGCACGGCGTATGGCACCCTTATCAAAGCTATCCAGTTTGAGTTTCCTAACTAGTTTTGATTTTGACACGACCCCTGAGGTAACTGATTTGTTTTCAACTTTGTAAGCCTGACTATATGTCAAATTAAGGGTCTTACACATTATACAGTAAACCCTGTCATAGCTGACGAGAGGTTTCTCCCTTTGTTTCTCCAGTATGAAATACTGATATACATTTGAAATTAATTGTTCTGCAGAGATATCAAGTCGCATGTTGCCAGTTCAATGCTCATACACAAAGTGAAACTTCTGTGGGTGAACAAGATTATCTATGCGATTTGAATTAAGACTTTTTGAAGTAATTATATTGAATATAACTACTACAAGAGTTCCATCTTTTTCACATATAGATGTTAAAAAACAAAACTTTTTACAACCATTTATGTAATTTAATTAGTTAAGGCTATATGAATAATTATAGTCTGTATTTCAAAACTACAGTTTGTACTTAGAATATTTACAAATGTTGTTAAAACGTCAAAATTTCCTCCTGTGAAGTCACCCCAAGTGTATTTTTCATCTCAGCTTTAATATCAACTGGTGAGTCGTACATGTATCATATATGTGCTTTAATCTTGTGTCAAATTCATCATTTTGATATTGAAGCCAAAAAGCATTTTCCAAGCATTTCTGGCTTTACTTTAGTATTTGAATTTTAAACCAAAACTATACTGATGTGTGTTTTAAGCCAAAATATAGTTATAGCAGTTATACCAAATTATAGTTTTAATGGTCAAGCCAGATACAATTTAACTTCTCAACAGCAATATCTAATTATAATCATGTACATCGAAACACGCCAGTACCACAGGTGCAATTTACAAAAAAACATGCCCATAAAAGTACAACTTATTCCAGTTTCAATAAAAAAAACGACAAGATCTACAATATAATTTATTTCAACGCATACATATTAAAAAAAATACCAGAAAGAACAAATTTTATCAATTATATCAGAACAAGAGAGGGGCTTGTTTGTGTGTTATATTTCTGTGTTGTTGTTGTGTTGTGTTTCTTAGGTTTGTGGGGTAGTCTAGTGGTTAAAGCATCTGCTTGTAACGCCTAAGACCCGGGTTCGATTTCCCACATGGGTACAATGTGTGAAGTCCATTTCTGGTATCCCCTGTCGTGATATTGCTGGAATATTGCTAAAAGCGGCGTAAAACTAAACTCACTCACTCTTAAGTTTGTTTTGAATGGGGTTTTTTCTGTTTCGCCGCCTTTTCACGGGATGGAGTCGGGTGCAACCGGTGGGGTAGGATACACTCACACTACGCGTTCGATTTTAAGTCAAATTTAGAGATATTATAATTTCGTTATATCCCTCTGATTTTCCAAGACAGTATGTTTATCTCCATTTTACCATAACCGCGTTCTTAAGATTTAAAAAACCCAAAACATACTGTGTTGGAAAATTAGAGGTATGTAACGTGATTATATACCTCTGAATAACTTTGATTAACCAATCATAATCCAGTATTTACTGAAGTCATGGTAAAATTAGGCATAAACATGTGGGATTTGACAGTAACTGTTATGTTCGCGCGTCCAATCGATGTCGTAAAATCCGCTTAAATTGTCTCGAGGCAAAGTACATAAATTATTTGACTTAAACTTTTAATTTAAAAGCAAACAAACAAAAACCTTTGGGAAAACAGTATGGCGTGTTTACAACATCTGTCTGATAACGCAAAAAGTGTTTCACAACAATCTGTTTTATTTTTAGCAAACCCACGATTCAAGATGTCTGCGCCCATGAAGACATAATATCGTCTGTACTGTCTGCACGATATGTTCTACGGTATTGATTCTTTAATTTGGTAGGTCACATGAAAATATCCTGACATAAAGTAGTTGCACTCAGGACATAATTCTCCATTGAAGTGACACTTGACGTAAAGCACACGTCGAATGATCGCGACTTCGATTTGTCAAGTCAGCTACTTTCTGTTTCTTATGGTTACAGTGTCACCTGTTTTCGTGGGTACATCATGCTGTCCAACGGGCTTACGTTCCTGCACCGTTACACTTATGGGAACTAAATAAACTAAAATTAACGAAATACATATTTTTAATTTTTTTGGGGGGGGCGTAAAAAGTGATGTTTGAAGAAATTATGTCACTTAATTTAGTCGTAATTTTTACGTGATCAATTTTTCGTTTAGCATAACTTTTAAGCAGAACACTGTCGTGATCATATTTCACAGTTCGTTATAACTGTCAACAGACCCAACTAACGTGTTAGGTTGCCTTAACCTATTCCTATAATAACACTAATAGTTACCGATCATCTGTTTTTAATTTTACTTATTTCTTGAACATTTATGTGATTTATCGTTTTGTTTGTTTGTATGGTTTTCTGTCAGTGTTGCCAATCTCCATAATACCACTGACTCAGCATCCTGGATCTTTTGTTTGTGTGATGTTTACTGCCTCACTCAGCAATATTCCAGCTATATATGGCAGCAGTCTGTCGATAATCAATCTAGACCAGACAATCCAGTGATGAACAGCATAGGCATCTTTCTACGCAGTTGGGATATGCATTGGTTACTGCAGACCAACTCTAAACTGGATCTTTACAGGTTTATGTGAGTGAGTGAGTTTAGCTTTATGCTGCACTCAGCAATATTCCAGCTATATGGCGGCGGTCTGTAAATAATCGAATCTGGACCAGACAATCCACTGATCAACAGCATGAGCATCAATCTGCGCAATTGGGAACTGATGATATATCTCAACCAAGCCAGCGAGCCTGACCACCCGATCCCATTAGTTGCCTCTTACGACAAGCATTGGGTTACTGAAGGCCAATTCTACCCGGACTTTCACGGGTTGTAGATATATAGATATCTGGTGTATTATCATGATTATATTCATACACAATAGAGTGCTGCTGATAGCTAATTATCCCCCGCAACGTGTTTTGCGGGGGGGTATTAAAATGGACTCCGTCTGTCCGTCCGTGCATCCGTCAGTCCGTCCGTGCACATTTGTCTTTTCCGGAGCAGTACTCTAAAACCGTTCAATATTTCTTCACCAAACTTGGCACATACATGGATCTGGTGGTGTACTGGTGCCTTTTGGTAGTTTTGGAATTCTGAATAAAATATTTTTGGCAGTTCCATGGCAACAAGTTTGACTTAGACTGAAATTGGTGGTAGTGCAGAACTCTAAAACCGTTAAATATTTCTTCACCAAACTTGGCACATAGATTGGTCTGGTGGTGTAATTGTGCCTTTTGGTAGTTTTGGAATTCTGAATAAAATATTTTTGGCATTTCCATGGCAACAAGTTTGACTTAGACTGAAATTAATTCAAAATTCTAATTATGTTAATTGTAAAAATGCATAAAGACGAAGTTTGCATCATGTCCTGGCAGTCAGTTCACTGATCCTGAAGGTCAGGTCATGAGGAGAAATTCATTATCCAGCATACATTTCTTGAATTTAGCTTCCCCAATGTATCCGAGTAACATGTAAATATGATTTTACAGAAGAGCTGCTTCCCTGACGGTCCTGAAAACTTGAGGAGATGCAGACGCCTGAAATGAAATTTGATTTGGTCCATACTGGTTGTCATGGAGGCGTGGAAGTTGTTCCCGTGGAAACCACAGATCACCAGTGTGTTTTGCCTCGAAAGACTGTAAGGCATTGCAAAACATATTCAGGGAATCTTCATTATTCAAAACAAATTATACCTGTTATATGAGAAGTTTCATCAGTCTAGCAAATAACAGTTTCTCTGCTCATCATGTGCTTTAACAAAGCAAGAATGTGTCAGTTTTCATTCAGGGCATTTAATGCAATATCTAGGTCTAGACTGGAAATACTTGTAATTGGAGGGAATATGTGTGAATAGTGTTGATGTGTTTTGTATGTTTATGGTGGTTAAAGGGTGACATGGTCAGATATGTGGAACTGAGTCTTCAGCTTCCATCATATGGTAGAAATGTAATCCTCATCCACCCACACAACCCACCTGTTTGCGTGCCTGCCTTCCCGCTCCCTCCCTCCCTCACCTACCCAAAACTCATCCACCCACCCACTCACTCACTCACTCACTCGCTGTGTTCTCCAGCTGCCTAATGGGCTGCCCCCTGTACTGCCGACTCTGCAGGAGGACCTGGAGCACTACCTCACTTGTCCTGAACAGCTGCCAGTTCATGATGTCCTCCGATCTCAGCAGTAAGTATAATAGGACATGGTGGAAGCCTCTAGAACTCTGTCATCTGAATATAGCACCCACTGCCCCTCAGCTGAATCTACAGATATCATGTATTACAGTTGAAACACTGACAGAACATAACACATTCCTGCTCTAAAGAGAAATGGCAATGAAGAGGGTCAATCAGCGTTCAAAGACTTGGAAAAGGCTAATATGTTGAATGAATACTCTGAATCTATATGCAGTTTAGAAGAAGGTGAGAATGTAGACCTGCCTCAGTTTGACAAACGCACTGACACGTTTTTGGAAAATATAATTCTTACCAGTAATGAAATATCCGATATTATTAAATGCTTGCCTGTAAAGAAAGCTGCTGGCCCCGACAGAATCAGTCATCAATTGCTAAAGAAAATGGTTAACTCTATTAGTCCTGTACTGTGTTTATTATTGAATATGTCCCTCAGTTGTGTGTATCCCAATAATTTGAAATATGCCAATGTAATGCCTTTACTTAAGAAAGGTGACCACTCCATTGTGTCAAACTACAGACCTATATCGCTTATTAGTTGTGTGGGAAAGTTGTTTGAGAGAGCAGTTTTTAGATATGTGTATAATTATTTTTTAGACAATAAGTTATTATATAAGCATCAATGTGGATTTCAAACTGGTCAGTCGACTTTTCATCAACTAATTGAAATTTATAATCAAATTTGATAGAGTGTGGCACAAAGAGCTTATGTTAAAATTAGAAATGTATGGTGTTAAAGGAAAGTTACTTAATTGGTTTAAAAGTTATGTAAGCAATCGTAATCAATCAGTGTTTGTTAATGGAGCTTTATCCACGCCGAGAATGTTAAAAGCTGGTGTTCCACAAGGCTCAGTACTCGGTCCTTTCTTGTTCATTGTTTACGTCAATGAAATAGCCGATATACTCTATTGTTTAACCAGACTGTTTGCTGATGATACGTCACTTGGGGCTATTTCAAAAGAAAAATACTTAATGGAAAAAGCCATGAATGATAATTTGACCTTATTGAGTAGTTGGGCGAAGGAATGGCTGATTAAATATAATCCTAACAAAACTGAAACTATGATATTTTCTTTACAAGATAGTGACCAACCTATTATACTATATTTTGATGGAGTTAGCATTGCTATTGTTGATTTTCACAAACCTTCGGAGTTAACTTTTTCTTCAAATGGCAGTTTGTCATGTCACATCGGAAATATTGTGGAAAAAAACTCTAAAATGATCGGTGCCTTACATATCTATTGAATAGGAAAACGTTATCAAGAATTCATACAGTGTTTATAAGGCCACATTTTGAATATGCGTGTGTGGTATGGGATGGGTGTCTTATTGAAGATTCGAACAAGTTAGAAAGACTGCTTGAGGAAGCTCGTATAGTTACTGGCCTACCCAAATACACGCCAAGTAAAGTTCTTTATTACGAGACTGGATGGGAATTGCTATCAGAGAGAAGAAAGAAGCGTAAATTAAACTTGTTTTATAAGATTAAACATGACATCGCCCCGTCTTTTTTAAACGAATTGTTACCACCTGTTGTAGGAAAAAGAACCCATTAAAACTTACGTAATGCTGAAAATTATACTGTGCCCAATACAAGACTAAAATATTCAACATCTTCATTTATTCCGTCAACCATAAAAGCCTGGAACAATCTCCCGTCAACTGTAAGAAACTGTGACTCCATTTCCTCATTTAAAAGAAACATTACAACATGCGTAATAGTGCCCCATCATACTTTTCATCTGGTATACGTAAGCTAAATATTTTACACACAAAGTTAAGATACAATGTAAGTACACTCAACTATGATTTGTATAGAATCAACATTATAACCGATCCATCCTGTTCTTGTGGATGTCTCTGTGAAAATGTATATCATTATTTCTTGGATTGTCCCTGTTATACAACATATAGAGAAACTTTGTCAGCTAACATAGGTGATATGTTACAAAATAGATATTTACCAGATATATGTTTTATTTTATATGGCAATGCAGACCTCTTAGCTGAAGAAAATCTGAATATCTTCAAACATGTCCATCACTACATCAATCAAAATAAACGATTCCTCTGTTCTTCCTAATCTGTTATATTCTCAAACTCAAGATCTCTCATGCATATGTTCTCTGTATAATTGTTGTAAATAATGGGAGAGGGCGTCATTAAGTTTGATAACTTGTGCCCAATCCTTTTCCTCAATGAATAAAATATGTTTAAATCAAAATCAACACTGCCTCTTAACAGGTAACTCACTCACCCATGGATCATGGCAAGTGGGAAAAAGTATTTGTGCTCTGGTCTCACAGCTGCCCATATTATGGGAGCCTAATAAAAAGACTAATAATTTCCATTTCTCAAACAATCCGCTGGAAAACAGCTGGAAATGTATTGTGACTTCATCGCGGTGGGCGAGTTGGCTAAGGCGCCACACTAGTGATCCAGCGAGGTTGAGGTGCCGGGATCGAGCCCACCTGTGACCGGGTGTGAAAAACCTTGGAGTCAACTTTGTGTGCAGACTCTTTCAGTGTTGTCACAACCCCTAGTGTACAGTACACAACCCTGTGCACTTAAAAGAACCCACGAATCCGTTGGTATATGACCAGATGGTGGCCACATGAATACGTGTAAACACCTAGTTGCGGGTACAGCAACGTGCAGTAAACTTGGACAAAGTACTGTGACTATGTGTCCCAGTCCACCCAACTGTGAATGGGTACCTCGTTAGGATGAGAAAGCCACAATAACTCGGTGCGCCTAGTGGCAGCAAGAGTTTTATACTCCCCAGGGAGTTGAGATTGATAATATGATGTGCCGTTGAGATTGACATCCAATGATCGAGGGAAAAATACCAGCACCTTGAGCATGCACCAGTTGCGTGGATATGTGTGCTATATAAATATCCTATAATAAAAAAAAATTAAAAAATATCTAAAACTTAGAAGCTAAGGGACACAACTCTGCATTGACACCTTCCCATTCTTACACACTGTCATTTTTGATTAAAATAATGGCTTTACAGGTTTGATAATGAGAAAGTTTAATTATAATCATGATGCTCACATTATTGGAAGTGTTAGAAACTCAGGAATATCCAATAAATGCTGGCAGATGTAAAATGACTGTATGGAAATGGAACAAACACGTACATGTATGATTTCAGATTCTGGCCGAGAGAAAGGAAACCTGAGCGTTTGTTGTCAGTAGACGTTTGTCCAGTACAAACTACCATACAGGTAGAACGGAACACCACGACAGGACAACTTCTGGGTTACAAGGAGGTTAGTTTGAATATGTCCACCACAGACCACCATACAAGAAGAGGAAGACAACAGTAGCACAGCATGGTTATCTCCCTTTGATTCATTGCTTTTGGCCAAGTGAATTTCTCTGTTATGACATGTTATGCGGCAACAGTATCAAGTAGGTTGAAGGTTAAATGCAATACTTATGTAAATATTGGTGTTATTTCAGGAATATATTCCAGACACTGGCAAAACTGCCAACAACTCTTTGTCTTTGAGACGGCCCCCGGGACCAGCGAGTCAGGATGTGAAGGGCAACACAGGGAACTATCCCTTCTGGCCAGGTGAGACCTTCCCTGGGCTGATGTTTAGGCCAGTTGTTAGGTCGATGTTTAGGCCAGTGTTTAGGTCGATGTTTAGGATGGCGTATGGGCTAGTGTTTTGGCCAGTGTTTAGGGAGATGTTTGGGTCTGTGTTTGGGATTGTATTTAGGCCGGTGCTTTAGTCGATGTTTGGGTATGTGTTTGGGCCAATGTTTAGGTCTGCGTTTAGGCCGGTTCTCGGGTAGATGTTTGGGTCTGTGTTTGGGCTGATGCTTAGGCTATTGTTTGGGTCACTGTCTGGCCCGGTGTTCAGCAGGGCAAAAGTGTGATTGTTCCTGGGGATATTTATGTGTGATTATCACAGGACGGACTTGATCTGTGATTGTTCCAGGCGGCCTGGATGAGCCTGAGCTGGAGGCTGTGGTTGAAGGAGTGGACACTGCTGTTGTAGAGTTTGAAAAAGGTATTTGAGATAATGGACAGCAAAGTATCATTTAGTGATTTAATAGATTCACAAACCCTATGAATCATTGTTCATGTGGCATTGCTAATATGATTCCTATACAATTACTGTCCCCACTCACCACCCCTTCCTCTACAGTTTACTTCTTAGCATGGCCGACCGCCTCCGTGGTTTAGTGGTTAGAGCATCCACCCGGAGAGCGGAAGGTCGCGGGTACGATCCCCGACCGCGTCAAAAATATGGGACGTAAAAATATGGTACTTGTTGGTCCCTGCCTGGCGCTCGGCATTCATGGGTACAACAAGGACTGGTCGGCTCGGAGTCAGTATAATGTGTCTGAGTAGGGTATTAATGCTTCACTGCGGCATGGTATCTCAGTGGGCTAGCACTATAAAACCAGCTTAAGTCTGGGCTAGTACAAGCAGCCGCACATACACATACACACGCATGCACGTTGTCATATGAGCGAAATATTCTCAAGCACAACGTAAAACCCAATTTCACCTCACCTCACCTCTTAGCATGGGCACTCTATCTGGTGTCCACTATGTATGATGTACACTGCTCTATGTCTTGTGTCCCTTGCATGCTTGGATTCTGTAACATAGCAAGAAAAAGATCAGCCAAATGACACAACAATCATCATAAATATACAGGTTATCCAACATAGGTGAATCCAGAGGGGGTGCAGGGGTGCGCACCCCCTTTTGTCCTGAAAGTTTATTAATGACCATTGAAACTCTCGTGAAAATGAAGTGTATACCCCCACTTTCTCAAGAGTGTGCAGGGGCGGTGGGGTAGCCTAATGGTTAAAGTGTTGGCTCGTCACGCTGAAGACCCGGGTTCGAATCCCCACATGGGCACAATGTGTGAAGCCCATTTCTGGTGTCCCCCGCCATGATGTTGCTGGAATATTGCTAAAAGCGGCGTAAAACCAAACTCAGTCAGTCAGTCAGTCAGTTAAGAGTGTGCACACCCCCTTATCCGCCCATGATCCAACATGTTTGTGTGATCATTAGCAGGCTGCAGTGGTAAATAGCTTGAACATTGTAGACGGTTGTTAAACAACATTTACTGACACAATCTATCGCCACTTGTGTTTTTAGACTTGCTCACAGTTCCTCCAGGTATGAAGGCTGGAATGACATTTGAGACATCCGATAAAACTAGTCGTAATACAGACGTCATCAATCTGGCAGACATATTGGCTGATGGGGCTGACCTTGACCTTGGTGACAGTGATGAAGAAACAGAACCACAGGGAAAAGAACAGGTTCGATTCTTTAACATACACTCCTTCAATGCAGAACAGCTAAGTATTGTTGTCCCCTGCCGAAACGCGGAACAGGGGACTATGTATTCAGCGGCGTCCGTCCGTACGTACGTACGTCCTGATTCTTGTTAACGCGATATCTGATGAACTGTTGTACCCAATGTCTTCAAATTTGGTGACAGCCTACATTGGGGGATTATGCAGACACCAGTCGATTTGGGTGACCTTGACCTTATTTTCAAGGTCACCACGACACTTTGACCACTTTTCAAACTGTTGTTAACGTGATATCTCATGAACTGTTGTACCCAGTTTCTTCAAATTTGGTGACAGCCTACATTGGGGGATTACGCAGACATCAGTTAATTTTGGTGACCTTGACCTTATCTTCAAGGTCACCATGACACTTTGCACGCTTTTAACTCTTGTTAACGCGATATCTCATGAAATGTTGTACCCAATGTCTTCAAATTTGGTGACAGCCTACATTGGGGGATTACGCAGACACCAGTCGATTTGGGTGACCTTGACCTTATTTTCAAGGTCACCACGACACTTTGACCACTTTTCTAACTGTTGTTAACGTGATATCTCATGAACTGTTGTACCCAATGTCTTCAAATTTGGTGACAGTTTAAATTGGGGTATTACACAGACACCAGTTTATTTTGGGTGACCTTGACCTTATCTTCAAGGTCACCACGATACTTTGACCGCTTTTTAAAGGCGATATCTCATAAAACATTGCACCCAATGTTTTCAAGTATGTTGACAGCCTACATTGGGTGATTATGCAGACACCAGTCATTTCAGGCATCTTGTATGTGACCAAAAAATAAAAAGTAGTAAATATAGATATTCCATTCTTTAGCGGCGGGGGACATTGCCATATCAGTGGCAAACACTTGTTGTTTCTTTGTTTAATAAGACCAGTAATGTTATCAACTACAACTTGTTGTCAGTCATGTTTATGGTGATAATGGTTCTTATTCTCATACTCACTGTTGGGTAGCCAAAAGGTTAAGGCATCACTCATAATAGCAAAGATCTAGGTATGATTCCCTAGTTGGGTACAATTAGTTGAGCATATTCTGGGACTCCTGTTCTGATGTGACTGGAACATCAGTATACATGGTGTACACTCTCCACTCCTCCACTCCGCCTCTCCTCCCGCTCTCCTCTCCTCCTCCTCCACTCCACTCCACTCCACTCCACTCCACTCCACTCCACTCCACTCCACTCCACTCCACTCCACTCTGCTCCACTCCACTCCACTCCACTCAGCTGCCCACCTACTCACCCACCCACCCACATGAGGCCAGATGTGATTTAACTGGTTCAGATTGTGATTACACAATGCCATTTAGAAAGTGGTCAAATGTAACATATGTTATATTTGGGATTACACTTTCTTAGTAAAGTACAAATTCTAGTACTTTTTGAGTTGAGACCCATCCGGGATTCGAACTTACACCCTCAGAGTCAGGCACCTAATCACCAGCACACAAAGTCAGCCGCCTAACCCGCTCAGCTACCGCGACTTCCAAAAATGGAAGTCGGACAACTGGTAGTCTAGACTGCAGACTTTGTGTACCCCTCTGATAAGTGTTAATAGGCACGGCTCCAACGGCCGAAAGCTATGATTACACAATGCCATTTAGAAAGTGGTCAAATGTAACGTGTTATATTTGGGATTATACTTTCTTAGTAAAGTACAAATTCTAGTACTTTTTTTACTCTGAGGGTGTGAGTTCGAATCCCGGATGGGCCTAAACTAAAAAAGTACTAGAATTTGTACTTTACTAAGAAAGTGTAATCCCAAATATAACATATGTTACTGGTTGAGATTGTTGATGCTGTATTACAGGAATCTGCAGACAAGGCCCCTGCTGACTCTCTGACCAGGAGTGAAAGCTTGGAGAACTTAGTGCAGGTAACTTGAATAAATGACAACAGTTATTTTCTGATCTTATAATTGTGACAAAATACAGTAGTATGACCAAACAGTGACAGTATCCCCTGCCACGGAATGCTCCACAGTTCCAGTCAACCAACATTCACTCATTCAATGCTTTCATAATGTTTCATTCATCAATTCAAAATAAAGGGTTTGGGTACTATGCAGAGTTACGTCCCCTGTGCATGCCAGAAAATTAGGTTCATTGCTATATTTCTTGGGTTGTTGGTGCTATACTGTGTCGGTTTACTGTGTGGTAAAAATGAGAGACCAGTGTTGATAGCATGGTTGATTGGGCCTCAAACCTAGACAACTTCAGACAAGACAGGCACACATGTGGGCAGCCATTACTGTAATTCCAAGAAGTGGGTAATTCAAAAAGAGAAAGGCTACAGAAACGAAATAGAATCATCAACAACCAGTACCACTATGTGCTGGCCTCCCACATTAAGATGACAAACTGTGATATAACTGCAAAACTGCACAAAGTATGTTAAAGCCAGTATACTCACTCAAAGTCAGTGGGGCCATAGTCCTGAAAAAGCTGAAGCACTTTGTACCGAGGATTCAGTGAGATATAAAGGTACATGACACTCATGCACAATGCTATGTTCAGGTGGAGAAATCAGGAGCACCTGTTCTTCCCCGTCCCCGTCCGGCTGAGGTGAAGGAGCAGTGGGCAGTCAAAGTGGACATCAACCAACCAGTTGACGACTTCTACAAGAGAATACCGGATATGGCTTATAAGGTATTGTAGAACTGCCTTGTGAATGAGTTCTAGATGAGAATACCGGATATGGCATATAAGGTATTGTAGAACTGCCTTGTGAATGAGTTCTAGATGAGAATACCGGACATAGCATATAAGGTATTGTAGAACTGCCTTGTGAATGAGTTCTAGATGAGAATACCGGACATGGCATATAAGGTATTGTAGAACTGCCTTGTGAATGACTTCTAGATGAGAATACCGGACATAACTTGTGGCTCGTTTCTATATGAGGATAGTGAAATAGCTTATAAGGTATTTTACAACTGACTTGTGAATGACTTCTAAACAAGAATATCAGAACTGGCTTTTAAGGTATTTTTGAACTGGGACATTCTGATGAATTCTTTGAGAAAACACCGACTAAGCTTGTATGCTTCTTTTTAAGTACTAAGTCTGAATGCGTAAAGAAAAATCCTCAGTAATACCAGTGTTTTTAGTAATATTCACCATAACAATGTTTCTGTTGACAGTGGCCATTTGAGCCAGACATCTTCCAGAAACAGGCCATCCTCCATCTTGAGAAACACGAAAGTGTGTTCGTTGCTGCCCACACCTCCGCTGGGAAGACCGTGGTGGCGGAGTACGCCATCGCTCTCTCGCTCAAGCACATGACCAGGTAAACATTCATTTCTGTGTAGGGGTGGTAGGGTAGCCTGGTTGTTGAGGTGTTAGCTTCTTCACACCAAAGGTCCTGGTTTGATTTGATTCAGGTTTGAAGTGTATAGTGTATGAAGCCAATATTTTCTGTTCTACAGAACGGTGTATACATCCCCCATCAAGGCTTTATCCAATCAGAAGTTCCGAGACTTCAAGACCACGTTCGGTGATGTCGGACTTGTGACGGGAGATGTACAGTTGAATCAGACAGCAGCATGTCTTATCATGACAACTGAGATTCTCCGGTGAGTGAGTGAGTGATGATGATGATGACGATGACGATCCTCAGACTGTTGTTTTGCAGCATTTCCGGGTACTGATAATAACAAATGACAGTATGACACCAGAATGGTTCTGACATTGTTCTCTAATTACAGGTCAATGTTGTACAATGGGTCTGATGTGATCCGTGACCTGGAATGGGTTATCTTTGATGAGGTCCACTACATCAATGACTCCGAGGTAAGCTTACAGACACTGGACTAACCACTGCTTTATCTTGACGATTTATACCTGGAATACTGTTCAAAGCAGTGTTAAGCTCAACTCAACTATGTGCCTGCTTGAAGCAGTAAGTTAGATAAGGCAGTGGTTGATGCTGTTTCTTGTTACCCAGGGTTTGGGTTTAATTCCCTACATTCTGTACAGTTCCAGATTCCAAAGTGTGATTAGGATATATAAGTGAGTTAAGGTCTGACTGAGTAAATGCGTTACTAGCATATAATCGTTATTGGCAGATTGTAGATGAGGATGTTGTTGTTCCAGCGTGGTGTTGTGTGGGAGGAGGTGTTGATCATGCTGCCTCAACACGTTAACATCATTTTACTGTCAGCCACAGTCCCGAACACGATGGAGTTTGCTGACTGGATCGGGTAAGAGGTGTTTTCTCACAGTTCTGTAGGGATTGGAAAAGTGCGATTTCTGACAGTTCTTGAGGCACTGCATCCTCGATAATCTCCAGGGTAAATTTCCACTATACCTGGATGCATCTACGGCTCGAACCGATGATTTTATTACCTCCCTTGGATGGCTCTGCATTGTCACAGTAGCCAATCAGATAAGCTGTCGTTACAACCGAGCTTGCCAATGTCAACAAAGATAGCGATCGCAGCCACGAAAGTTTGTTCGCAGTGCGACTCAGATTTGGGGGGAAAACATACAGACAAATTGACAGGTCTGAAACCTTAAAAAAATATATGCTAACTCCTACCAGGATTTTCCGTATTTAAGCCCTGGGCTTAATAACGGAAAATGACCCCTCTTGTTAACAAATATAAACCCCATAATTAAACCCAGGGCTTGAATTCGGGAAATGCTTGTAGCTGAAGAAAATTATTCTAAGACACAGTAAGATGGAATGAACTTTGATAATGATATTGTCATATTTTATTGCTACTGTGTTTGAGTCATATGGATTGAGATTGTCTATTTGAGTATAGAGTACCTGTCCTCTCTTGGGACTCCGAAACGAAATCCCGGTACCTCTTTCAGAGTACCTCTGCAACAATATATCATTGTGTTGCCAAGTTGAATCAGTTAGATAATTTAAAAGCGAAAGTGAGTTGTGATTGGTACGTTCAACTTCCCAGCGAAGACACCTGATAGGATACAAAGCCAACCAAGGAAGGTAATAAAATCATCGGCTCGAGACGTAGATGCGTCCAGGGTATAGTGGAGATTTATTGGAACGTATACTCTGGAGATTATCGAGGATGGAGGCATTGGTTAAGGGTTATATCTCACAGTTCTCACAGTTTTGGAGTCCCAAATAAAATACCCACCCTCTTTATTCATCAGTAGAAATAGGAAACATATAATTAATGGCCGCAAGTACATATACATTCTACTCCATCACTCAGTGTGTCCATCTGTTTTTCAGCCGTATCAAGAGGAAGAAGATCTACGTGATCAGCACGCTGAAGCGACCCGTGCCCCTGGAGCACTATCTGTACACAGGCAACAGCAATAAGACCAGCAATGAACTCTTCCTCATCGTCGACTCAAAGGGACAGTTTGTCACTCAGGGGTAAGAAGGATTATATGTAGAAGGATCATATATCATCACTTGTTTATAAAGTCTAATTTGAACGTGGTCACTCATGACCATGATGATCGCAAAATTGTGTCTCACAGTTTGTCAGGAGCGGTGGGGGCCTGGTGGTTAAAGTGTTTGCTCGTCATGCCGAAGACCCGGGTTCAATTCCCATATGGGTACAATGTGTGAAACTCATTTCTGGTGTCCCCCACCTTGATGTTGCTGAAATATTGCTAAAATATTGCTAAAAGTGGTGTAAAAATAAACTCACTCACTATTAATAGATAAATTCTTATGTGTTCCATTTCAGTATTATGGACTGTTGTGTTTGAGACAGTGATTTTTCATAATGAATAATTTTATTCCACATCACAGATACAACAAGTCAGTAGAGGCCAAGAAGGAACGTGCCAGCAAATCTTCTCAAAGCTTTGGGCCGAAGGGGACAAGGGGAGGCAACCCTGCACAGGTACGCCTATGCTCATGTGTGACTTACTGGTGTTCTAAAATGGCTGTCAAAGGTTACCTTCCTCTGTTGGCCAGCTTTCGCCACACTCCAGCACAGGGATGACTTAGCCCTTAGTTGAGGTACTAGGTTCACTACAAGGAACTCGGAGAGTGTCTTTGAACATTTTCAAAGTTACTTTAGACTATATTTATGAAGTATTTTGTCATTTTTGTGTGAAAAATGTACACTGGAATTTGTCAAAACAAGACTGTGCCAATACCAGACAGTATTTATAGTCCTAAATGTATTCTATTAAAAATAATTGCCTCATTCTGGTTTTCCTAATACATATTGTCCAAATTTAACTTATGTATTCTGGATGTCTAAACTGGGCTTACTTTCTGCCCCAGAGAAGTCTGGACAGATTCCACTTAAATTACTAACTGCCACTCTTCAGGACAAGAACGTGTGGTTGTCATTGATTGACATGGTGAAGAAGAAGGATAAGCTCCCCATGGTGGCCTTCACCTTCTCTCGGAAGAAGATTGAGGAGAACGCAGACAAGCTGGGCAGCGTTGACCTGACAACACAGAGTGAGAAGAGTGAGATCCACGTCTTCTTTCACCGATGTGTAAACAAGTTGAAACCCCCAGACCGGAACTTGCCACAGATCAGGAACATGGAGGATATCTTGAAGAGGGGAATTGGCATCCACCACAGCGGGATCCTACCCATTCTCAAGGAGGTTGTGGAGATGCTGTTCCAGAAAGGCCTTGTTAAGGTGAGAGCAATATCTGGTACCATGATGGTCAATTGTCATGAATCAAGTGGTATTAGGATTGATTACTTGAACCGATTTGCCACAATAGCTTAACAGTGAGGGATAACCCGTTTCCTCTCCATTTTTTTTCATTGTGTTATGATAGATAAGTTGAAGCTACTTGATCCTAATTTCATGGTATTATGATCTAAGTCCAGTTTGCATGATGCTCAAAATAGTTTTCAAAACACAAATTGTACTGTCCTGGCCTTATGGAAATATGCGGCATCACCCATAACAGAACTGTATTCCAATAAAATACTAATCAAACTTTTTACCTTTGAACATCCAGGTTAGAATTGATCTTCAGTAACCCATGTTTGTCGTAAGAGGCGACTAACGGGATCGGGTGGTCTGCCTCGCTGACTTGGTTGACACAGGTCATCGTATCACAATTGTGTAGATCGAGGCTCATGATGTTGATAACTGGATTGCCTGGTCAATACTCGATTATTTAGAGACCGCCGCCATATTGCTGGTATATTGCCGAGTGTAGCATAAAACTAAACTCACTCACTTATCAAATGTTTAGCTCTGAAAAAAAACATCTTTTCCAGTTGAAAACTCAGTTAATACATCGTCTTCAGATTCAGTTAAATAATGTCAAGTTCTCATTGGACAATGCTATGAATGTAGGTGTATGCTGAACTTGCATTTGTGAGAACAATGATAGCAGTAAAAGCTGACTGATACAATAAGCTCTTATACATCTTTCATGATATTGTAGATCCTGTTTGCAACCGAGACATTTGCCATGGGAGTGAACATGCCAGCGAGAACGGTGGTGTTTGACTCCATACGGAAACACGATGGAACAAACTTCCGTGATTTACTGCCGGGAGAGTACATCCAGATGGCTGGACGGGCTGGCCGACGTGGTCTGGACACGACAGGAACGGTCATTATACTCTGTAAGGGAGATGTCCCTGAGGTGTCCAATCTGCACAGCATGATGCTGGTGAGTGGGTCGACATCACGCTTAGATCTTATGTTACATAAACATAGAGTATTTAGACTGGTTATGGAAGTGTACATAATATTTAGATCTAGAGGTTACATTGATGTGTACCGCCATATAGCTGGAATATTGCTGAGTGCAGTGTATAACTAAACTCACTCACTCACTACATTGGTGTTGATGTGACATAGGTCTACATATTGGAAAGGGTTACATGATTTTAGATCTAAAGCTTACAAATACCTTTCAGGTATTTATAGTTATATAGATCTACAAGTCATGTCAAACCTAGAAAGTATGTATGTAATAATGGTTTTCAATTTAAAAGTTAAATCACTGGATAATCAAAGGCACACTGCTTATGTCTTGGACTTACAACAAGCAACAGACATGGCCCGTCCCTTACAACAAGCAACAGACATGGCCCGTCCCTTACAACAAGCAACAGACATGGCACGTCCCTTACAGCAAGCAACAGACATGGCCCGTCCCTTACAACAAGCAACAGACATGGCCCGTCCCTTACAACAAGCAACAGACATGGCCCATCCCTTACAACAAGCAACAGACATGGCCCGTCCCTTACAACAAGCACCAGAAATGGCCCGTCCCTTACAACAAGCAACAGACATGGCCCATCCCTTACAACAAGCAACAGACATGGTCCGTCCCTAACAACAAGCAACAGATATGGCCCGTCCCTTACAACAAGCACCAGACATGGTCCGTCCCTTACAACAAGCCACAGACATGGTTCGTCCCTTACAACAAGCACCAGACATGGTTCGTCCCTTACAACAAGCAACACACATGGCACGTCCCTTACAGCAAGCAAGAGACATGGCCCTTCCCTTACAACAAGCAACAGACATGGCCCTTCCCTTACAACAAGCAACAGACATGGCCCATCCCTTACAACGAGCAACAGACATGGCCCGTCCCTTACAACAAGCAACAGACATGGTCCGTCCCTTACAACAAGCACCAGAAATGGTCCGTCCCTTACAACAAGCAACAGACATGGTCCGTCCCTTACAACAAGGAACAGACATGGCCCATCGCTTGCAACAAGCAACAGACATGGTCCTTCCCTAACAACAAGCAACAGACATGGCCCGTCCCTTACAACAAGCACCAGACATGGTCCGTCCCTTACAACAAGCAACAGACATGGCCCGTCCCTTACAACAAGCAACAGACATGGCCCGTCCCTTACAACAAGCAACAGACATGGTCCGTCCCTTACAACAAGCACCAGAAATGGCCCGTCCCTTACAACAAGCAACAGACATGGCCCATCCCTTACAACAAGCAACAGACATGGCCCGTCCCTTACAACAAGCAACAGACATGGCCCGTCTCTTACAACAAGCAACAGACATGGCCCATCCCTTACAACAAGCAACAGACATGGCCCGTCCCCCTTACAACAAGCAACAGACATGGCCCGTCCCTTACAACAAGCAAAAAGCAATAGACATGGCCCGTCCCTTACAACAAGCAACAGACATGGCCCGTCCCTTACAACAAGCAACAGACATGGCCCATCGCTTGCAACAAGCAACAGACATGGTCCGTCCCTAACAACAAGCAACAGACATGGCCCGTCCCTTACAACAAGCAACAGACATGGCCCATCCCTCAACAAGCAACAGACATGGCCCGTCCCTTACAACAAGCAACAGACATGGTCCGTCCCTAACAACAAGCAACAGACATGATCCGTCCCTTACAACAAGCAACAGACATGGCCCGTCCCTTACAACAAGCACCAGAAATGTCACATCACTTACAACAAGCAACAAAGATGGCCCATCCCTTACAACAAGCACATTCAATGCAGGGGACCTATAGTACACAAGGTTAATTCTACTTTCAGGGCAAACCAACAAAGTTAGAGTCTCAGTTCCGCCTGACGTACACAATGATTCTGAACCTGCTGCGAGTTGAACAACTCCGGGTGGAGGACATGATGAAGAGGAGTTTCTCCGAGTTCCACGCTCAGAAGGATGCGACAAAACACAGGGACGCTATTCAGCAGCTGGCCAAAAAGGTCAAGGACATTCAGGAGATAGAGTGCTTCATGTGTTCTATTGATCTTGAGAATTACTTCAAGTCATGGTCGGAGTATCAGGATCTTAGGAAGAATCTGCAGGTAACTTTTTTTGGGCAGGAATAGCCATGGTAACTGTAACATCAATCCAAACTCTGTAGATGAGATGAGGAGTAGTTGTGTTGAGTGTCATCAGATCCAGATGTCAAGGATTTGTCTGAGCAGACTGAGCAGACTGGGCTGGTGGTAGCTAGTGGTTAAAGCGTTCACTCGTCATGTAGAAGATTTGAATAGGTGTAACTTGTGCACAATGACAAAACAATAAACTATGAATACACACTTCCGTTAATTAAGTCTTCAAATCTGACATATGTTACATTTGGGATTACACCTTCTCAATAAAGTTCAGATTAGGTGCAGGGCGTTGGGGTAGCCTAGTGATTAAAGTGTTGACCTGGGTTCGATTCCCCACATGGGTACAATGTGTGAAGCCCATTTCTGGTGTCCCCTGCTGTGATATTGCTGGAATATTGCTAAAAGCAGTGTAATGCCTCACTCACTCACTCACTCACTCGACAGACAGGTGGACCAGATCAGGTGGCACAACTCAGTGACTTGGCTTGTGGTGTGATGTATCAACTCACTCACTCATTGACTATCCATGTAAACACATGGTATGTCGACATATTAATGACCACTCAACGCTGAGTGAGTGAGTGAGTTTAGTTTTACGCCGCACTCAGCAATATTCCAGCTATATGGCGGCGGTCTGTAAATAATCGAGTCTGGACCAGACAATCCAGTGATCAACAGCATGAACATCGATCTACGCAATAGGGAACCGATGACATGTGTCAACCCAGTCAGCGGGCCTGACCACCAGATCCCGCTCCCGCTCAACGCTGAGCAATGACAGGTAGTTTTGTGTAAGTGGACACAGCAAAGTGTAAAGTTGTTATTGCGGACATATGTAATTTTAAGATTGCTAAAAGCGTGTAAAACTAAACTCAGTCAGTCAGTGTAATTTTAAGATTCATTTCAATATTTTTGCATTTATAGCTCTAATCTATGCACACACTTGTTAACTTATCCTATTCTCCTAGATGAAACACATCTCCAGACAGTGGCAATTAGAAAGAGCATGCCATTTCAGAGAGTTCACATGACCAGAGAGAGCCTCTGCACATGCTTGCTGCCTGAGCTGTGACATTAGGGACCGTTCGTAATTCATGGCTAGGGGTGTGATGATGAGTTTTATTCAGAAGCATCTACAATTTGAGTGTCTCTCTGAAAAAATGATTATGGACAAAGTAAGTGAACCCCCTGCATGTCATGTACAAAATCAATTACCCCTTCCTCTTCCCATAATTTTAAAAATAATTTTATGTACAAAATTGCTGACCCCGCTACCTCCCCTGAACAAAATGGGTGACCCACCCTTAAAATCATCAGCCCCCCCCTATAAATTATGAACGGTCCTTTAACAAGGCAAGATGGTGGTAGATACTGGGTGTGTTTGGGTGACGTGTTTTGTAATTGGAAACATTCTAAGGGTTCCAGGCATGTTTCAAGTCAGGATTGACAGAGAAGGGAGAAAAAAAAGTGTGAGATGAATAAGTATATATATATACAATTATAATTTTTTCAAGTTTATCAGAATCGAGAACTGCATTGATAACACTCCATGTCATGGCATCCTGTGTTTTCAGTCTGTTGTCCTGTCCCATCCAGCGGCCATCAAGGCATTATCTGCAGGTCGTGTGGTGGTCATCAACAAGTCAAGTCACAGGAACACACTGGGTGTGGTGCTAAATTCAAGTATGGGACAGAATAATGACAGAATATTTACAGTGCTTGTTATTTGTGAAAAACATTACGGTGATGCTGCTCAAAATGATAAACATTCTGCTGAGTTATCGCCAATTCTGTCTCGGCAATTGTTCCAACCCGAGGGTCCATGTTGGCATGACGTTGTCAAGGTGAAAGGCGAAGAAATAAGTGTTGTGACAACAAAGACACTGAAGGTGGAGCCAACCAAGATAATTAATGATGTACAGAAACGACAACAACTAAGATTTAAGTAAGTCCTGTACCCATGACATTTGGGTTGTAACTTATCATTCATCGTACATATTGATTCATCTAGATGAACCCATGGAGATTCAGGATAGATTCAGTCTTCAGCTACACATGCTTGTCGTAAGAGGTGACTAACGGGAGCGGGTGGTCAGGCTCGCTGACTTGGTCATCTTATCCCAATTGTGTAAATCAGTACTCATGCGGTTGATCACTGGATTGTCTAGTCCAGACTTGAACATTTACAGACTACTGCCATATAGCAGGAATATTGCTGAGTGCAGCATTAAAAAACCCACAACATTTTGTAAGATCGGCTTTCTTTTCCTGTGTAACACAACTGGTCATAGGTAAAAAGTGTGTGTGTCTAGATCAGTCTTTGCGGATTAGCCAGAATAGGTCTTTAAGCTTGACTCAAGCTATCTAATTCAGAGAGTGTAAGTCAGGAGAGTGGAATGTCAGTGGTTACCAGACTCATCAAACCAGAAAACATTAAAAGATGGCATTTGTTATTGTCCTGGCTGTTGCTTCGTATCCAGGTGATAACTTAATAGCACTGGTCATCTTGGAGTCAGTTCTTGATTGTTTGTTGTTTAACACCACAATATTCCAACTATATGACGGCGGTCTGTAAATAATCTGGTCTGGATCAGACAGTCCAGTGATTGACATCATGAGCATCCTCGATATATGCAATTGGGAGTCGATGACATGCATGAACCAAGTCAGCGAGTCTGACCACTCGATCCCGTTAAACACCCCTCACGACAAGCAGGAGTTGCTGAAGACCAATTCTAACCAGGATCTTCGGTTACTCTAATGAAACATAGGAGTGTATAAAGACTGCATAAACTTTAAAGTGATTTTCAGTATAGCAAAATGAATAATTAATCTTGACTCCAGCCTTGGTCCAGTCAGACCACCTCAGGGGTCAGGTCTTCGGGATCTTGTTTTTGTGTTCTGAACACATGAAAATAATTAGTGTTTCAGAACCATTCCAGCCACAAAATATCTCATGTCACTTCTCTTTGTGAACCTCATAATTCTAGACTGAAATGCTGTTCCAAGTTAACTATCACTCCCTCATTCACAGAGATGATCCTCCTGGCCAATCCGTTTCCATGACGGCCCAAGAGTTGCTGCGACTGACAGAAGCTAACCTTTCTGGTATGAGTGGCCTTGACCCTGTGAAAGACCTTCACCTTCGTGACATCAGTCTTGTTGAGCAGTTCCGGTCTCTGCAGTTTCTTGAAGACAATCTCAGAAAGTATCAGTGTATCAACTGTCCCAAGTTTGAAGACCATGTGAGTACTGTGGTTGACAGCAGACATTTAGATGGTTTCACCAGCCAGACTCACACTGGCTTTATTGTTGAAGTCTAGCTAGTTGCTAAAATTTTTTCTGCCCGTTTTGCGAAAAAATAAAGTGGATAAAATTTCACATGGAATATTTTTCGTAATGCACTGTGCATCAACAGAAATGGCCTAACCCGGAAAATTTCGCTTTAATGACGCTAGCATTGCGCTTATTTTCAAATTGATCTTGTAAGGAATTAAAGTATTTTGTGTCCCCTGACCAACAATTTTTAATGTATGGCACTGCATAATGATTGGTCATCACACTATTTCATCTAGAATCTTTCCTATTCATGAATAAACCTAAAAAGTAATTTTTATAAAGTTGTCACCTTTTCACTATGTAAGTGTTTTTAGTATTACACTTTAGGTCCAATCACACCTTTTGAGCAATTTCTGAGTTGGCATCTGTGCAGAGGCCCCAGATAGACTCGCTGGCTTTATTGTTGATCTAGGTTGCTAAAATTGGATACACCAGCATAGAGAAATTTCCAAAATCGCATTGAATTAATAATTGTTGCGTACCAATTACGCATTTAAAATGTTAGATACGACAAAAGTTTAAAACAAATGCGTCCGGAATATATTTATAAAAATAGCTTGCGTAATGAAAAAGACATCGATTGATATCAAGTTGTACTGTTAGTATAGGACTAGTGTTGTACTGTCAGTAGAGGATGAGTGATTTTTTATGAATCATTTCCATTATATTTAAGTTGGGTTTGAATAGGTATGACAAAAGGCAGAACATACCTGCTTAGTAAACTTACTCAATGACATAATATTTAGGTGAGTAAAATGACTGAAATATGCACATATTTGAAAGCAGTGGGTAACGGAAAATGAAATACCCACTCAACATTCATAATACCCACTCCAAAAAATACAGTGGGTACAGTACCCACATGAGCTAAATCTTATCTGGAGCTCTGTCTGGGTAATACTGATTTTATGACCTGAAGCACCGACTCAATAATTTTGAAAACTTAGCATGAAAGTCAAAGTAAAAGGTCAATGCCAAATTGGGTGGAAACCTATGCAGGAGACAAGTACCCCATGTTTGTCCCTCTGTAGAGATTCCTGGGAAGGACAGGTCCTAAGTACCCCATGCTTCTTTCAGTGGCATTTGTATGGTATATGTGAGAGGAACAACATTTGGGTGTAGATCCTAACACCGTTATTTGCTTGATAGCAGTGTTAAAGGTCACATGCAACGTAAAACACAACTTTGCAGATTCTGATACCTTTCTGTATGGACTTACCAAACAAGTCATCAAAAATGCAAATTCAACTTATAAAGTTGAAAAATAACGCTATGAAAAAAACTGCGCTCGAAATTGGAGTTCAAACGATTCACTAATTTTCCCCAAGCGCTTGGGGGAAAAAGTGGTTTCAACAGCTGGGCTGGCTGCGCTCATAGCACATGCACAGTGAAATAGGTTCGCGGAGCTTGGAAGCGGTTGTCCGGTGAATACTCGTTGAAAGCTTTGGCGTGAGCTATTTTTCTAATGTTTTGTTGATATTTCACAGGCTCGAGCTTTTATATGTTATGACAGTAGATTACCGATTTAACTGTTTATATAATTTCATTTGCCTATTTCACCACACGCTCTTCTTACCTTTCTCAGTCACCTTCTCAATGTTTATTTAGCTTACAAGAATTTCAACTGTGATATAGATATGTCGTTGTCACAGACAAAACTCAATGTCTGTTTTATTGACACCTATGTGTCTGCCTGCCTGTCTGCTAATGACAATATTCAATACACAACTTCAATCACTGACCACATGCAATTTGAACTTAACACCTATCAGGCTATACACCATAAACAAAACACATTGATTTATGGCCCGAGTTCGGTCTCTGTCACATTATGTAATTACACAGACAGGCAGGTGTGATACTTGTACACATGACATGTTATGATGTCTGTTGATTTCAAAATGTTATACACAAAAAATGAGCATGTATTTACAAAACCCAACATCTCTATATATACACACACAATGAGCCGTGAGGGCATCTGCAAATGAACCAGCCGTTACACTTGTGTGCACACCCACCTGCTCTGACTGGGTTCGGTATCCCGGCTGCTTCGTTTCTAGGGAAGTAAACCCAAGTACAAAATATTGCGCTTTTGATTTGCGATTGTACGCTTTAATGTTTGTTTGTTTAATCATGTAACCATGCAAATAAGTATAATTAAATTATGATTTTTACTTATCCTGACTCATGATCTTTGCTTATCTCCCTTCCCTTCGAATTAGTGTCCCTTTGAATTTATTTAGGCCTATTCTTCAAAATTACGCTGTATATGGATTTGGCTATAACTACTATGTAGTATTTGTAAAATTTTGTAAAATTATTGACTTTGAGTCGGTTTTCATCGTCATGTAACTCTGTTTACATTTAATGAAATCCTGCAGTGTTTGCAGGCACAGATTATCCGTGGCTGATCCTCACCCCCAATGTTCTTCGTGCATAAATCCATGTTCCTCCAGCTTGCGCTGTACTTATTGTATTGATTTATCAAATCTTCAATTTAATCAATATTTGTCTTATATATATAGACGTCCCATGGATCGGGTGAGAAAGTCATCTCAAGTCACGGTTGATAAAACTGCAGATCAGCCTTCAAACCGTATGTTGCTTGCTACTGCCGATGTTCATAATACTGGTGCTTAGTTAGAAGGTTACAGGGGCAGTCTGCTGGTAAGGGGGCCAGGAAGAGATCGTCTACATCTCAGTCGACGCTGTCTCAGACTAAGAAAAAGACGCCATCCTCTTCTACAACGCAGAAGAAGTCAGCTGTTACCAGATCCGAGGGCAAATCTACGCGTGCTAGCTCATCTATGCACCAGAAATCCTTCAACGAAGAGATTGTACCTCCTCACGAACTAGACGTTTTTGACAAACCCCCATTACTTCTACCTGAAGTATCTATGAGATCAGCGACTCGGTCGACCTCTGCTACTACGAGATCGTCCCCTACTACAGTCACAGCAGGAAGCTGTTGACATACTACCTCTTACTTCTTGGATTGAAGTTGAGGCACATAACTCATCAGCGTTCGTGAACGCTTCATCGACACCGCAGCAGCTTCAACCTATGCATAACTTCGACCCAGGGGAATTTATGACTCAATTCACCAACCAGATGATGGAACGCAGATTCCAGGAGGAATCGAAGGCTAGGAAAAGCCTCTCATCTACCGACACCGTGCGAAAACCTACGGACCGGTGCGAACCTATGGGCCTGCGCGAATCTACTCCTCTTGGAACTTCACCTCAAGGCTACGTTGGCGAACGTACATCTTTGCGAAGGTCTCCACAGTCGGACGATCTTGGAGGATAGAAGAGATGACTTACCTACTCTCAAATCTACTTCTGCGACTTCACAGACGTTAGTGAAGTTACTCACCTCAAGCCAGAGGTTCGCGAAGAGAAGACTCACATCACAGGAATTCGCCCTACGATAGACGTTCGCGAAGAGATAGCTCACCTCACAGAGGTTCACGAAGAGATGTATCCACAGATAGAGGTTCGCGAAGAGAACACTCCCAAGATAGACGTTCACATAGGGAGGAATCCTCAGATAGAGGTTCGCGAAATGAGGATGAAGGTTCAAGAAGGGAAACAGGTTCGCAGATGGATGAATTGTTGAGACCTAGCTCTAATAATCAGGAGACTTCGGACTTGCAAACGGACTTCGTCTTCCCAGACTCAGAAGCTACAGCATGGATTGCTAACGGGTTGAACTTGGAGTCTCCTTCTAAGGATAAAGATGAAGCCTACACTTATATGATGCTCAACGATGACTTCGACTCCGTCACAATCCCTCCAATTGAACCTATATCCAATGTACCCTCTAACCTACGCACAACCTTCGCGAAAGCTTCCAAGTATCAGAGTCAGCACCTACCATCATTTAATATGAAGAGATTCCCCCTACATCATATGGATCCATTCACTAAGGCGCCTGATTGGGATGATAACATCAAACTTGTGAATGACTCCCGGAATAAGATGTATAAAGTGGAAGACAAAAAGCCATCTCAACTTGATACTGCTACAAGGAGATCCTTCTTCGGGTTGGCTAGGTCCAGAGCCATCAATGAAGCATTGATAAATAAATTCCAGAATTCAACTTCGGAAGAGGATAAGATGATATACTCAGCCCTCATTACAAAAAAGAAGGATCAATACTTTTTGTCGGACCATCTCACATCTATATCTGCGGGACTCACCTTACTACGCAGACAGGGGCTACTGGCTTCCTGCTCTTGGAATGATAGATTCACCCAACCGCTACTAAGAGCTCCATGGGAGGCACCTACTATATTTGAAGGACTAATAGATGATGCAGCTAAGGAAGCTATGCATGATACCAGAGAAGTTATGATGATTAAAACCATAGATACTCTGGCCAACATCATCCGTCATACTTCTCAAAAGTATAACAACAAGTCCAAATATTCCGGAATACAGAAGGCAAAGGACAAGAAGTACTCCAGCTTCAGAGGTGGCAAAGGATCTTTTCGTCGCCCATCCGGAAATTACAGAGGAAACTCAGGGAGAGGCCGCGGCCCCAGAGGTTCCAGAGGCACTAGATGTTGATATCAAGGTTCGGAACGACTGGAGTCTTCCACCCCCAGCCGTTCCTGTAAAACTGTCGACAGTGGGTGGACATCTAAAAGGGTACTGGAAGAATTGGGGAACACTAGAGGACGACTACGTCTCTCAAGTACTAAGAGAAGGATACAAAGTACAACTAAAAGCCACACCTCTGCTAACCCTCAGCCCGATGGTCTTCAACTATGCAGAGGAACAGGCAGACAAACTACAAGAAGCCATCGACTCACTACTGATGAAAGATGCTGTAGAGATAATAGATCAGAATCATCTCACTCCCGGCTTCTATTCCCCAATTTTTCTAGTACCCAAGAAGAACTCCAAGGAGAAGTTCAGACTGATTTACAACATGCTCAAATTCAACAAAGACTACCTACTGAAACCAAAGAGGTTCAGAATGATCCACCTACCTCAACTCAAACTACTCATCCGTCCAGCAGATTACATGGCCAGCATAGACTTGCAGGATGCGTACCTTCACATCCCGATACATCAGGAATCTAGAAAGTATCTACGATTCCTATTCAGAGGGCAGCATTTCCAATGGAACGTCCTACCGTTTGGAATCTTCGGCTCCGTGGCTATTCACATGAATAACCAAGCCTATAGTCGCATACCTACATCATTGAGGTCACGCAGTGCCTTCTACTTGGACGACGGAATACAGGTTCACCAAGATGCCAGTCAACTCAGACAGCAGCTGAACTTCACAATTAAGTTGCTCACTCAACTAGGATGGCTAGTGAGCCTTATGAAGTTGGAGTTGGAACCAAAACAAGATCTTCAATTGCTGGGGATAAGGTTTATCACAACACAGAATCGAATTGTGGTCCCAGAAGATCATTGGGTCAAGATACAAGCCATGATTCCACCAGCAGTCATCTCTCCGTTAACACTAGGATCATGGCAAGTGTCTACTCGGTCTGCTAACATCGGCGCAAGACTTGACTTCGCACAGGAAGGTTACAACTAAGACAGCTGCAACGGTTCCTGATAAAACATCTGGACAGCATCGACCTATCTTGCTGCCAGAAAATCTCAAGAGGTATCTACTTTGGTGGACCCACAGGTCGAACGCTCTGTGGAGGGACCTATTTACAAGAGCCGGCCTTCGACACACATCTCTACGCAGATGCATCGATGCAGGGATGGGGTGCACATCTCAACAATCAAGTTGCATCAAGGAAGTGGTCCAAAACAGAACAGCATCATCACATCAATCTGCTGGAGATGAAAGCAGTGATCAACGCCTTTACAACTATGGTCGAGCTTGCTGATCAACAGAATGCTGATGATCTACACGGACAACTCTACAGTGGCATTTTCCATAAATGCGGCAAGGATCTACAAGATCACCAAGCCTACTTGCAGCTCACATTCCAGTTGTTTGACATCACGGAGGAGGCAAACATCTGGATAAAGGCGCATCACATACCCAGAGCCAAGAATGTACTGGCAGATGCTCTCTCAAGACCACTACTTTTCGTCACCTACGGAATGGATGCTCCATCCAGAAGCGTTCGGCTCAACATAAGGAAATAGGATCCCCATGCATAGACCTGTTTGCCACGAGGTTCAACAAACAACTAGAGACGTTTGTCTCACCAGTTCCAGATCCTCAAGCCTGGGCAACAGATGCACTGAGCATATCATGGGAAGGATTAAACGCTTCGCTTTTCCACCCCGATAGTACTGCTGAAAGTACTGTTCAAGATCAAACAGACACAGATGCTACAACTGACTTTGGTTGCGCCATACTGGCCAGCTGAGAGTATGGTTCCTAGACCTAATAGAAGATCTCGAAGCCCAGTAATCAAGTTACCAGATTGGCTGAACCTACTAATACATCCGCGACACCAAGCAAGTCCACGGAAACCCAACACTGTTCCAGTTACACGTGTGGACCGTATCAAAACATGCTTGAAGAAAGAGGATACTCCGCCAGGGCAGCCAAAGCAGTAACGCTAAGCGCTACGCAGATCAACTTGTAACCTATATGATGACAAATGGCTGAAGTTTGAGACTTATGAAAGGCGGAAAGGCTTCCATTGCTATGATAGCTACTCATCCTCAAGTGGCGGAATATCTGTGTCATCTTAGACAGACTAGACATCTGAAAGGTTCGACATTATCTACATACCTCACTGCCATCAGTACAGTGATTACCATGAAAACGGGCATCAAGTTGACGAAAAGTACCAGATTTACTTGCTCTGCTGAGATCTTTTAAACTGGAGGACCAGCAAAGAAATTCAGAGCTCCAGCCTGGTATCTGAATTTAATTCTATGCCATCTTACCAGTGATGCTCTACGAACCTCTAGACCAGACTACACTCGAGCTGCTGACACAGAAGACTCTGTTCCTGCTTGCATTAGCCATGGCAGCTCGAATATCAGAGATACATGCGCTGAACTTTGGTTGAACCAGATTCAACAGAGGGCAACATGCTGCAGTTCATCTAGGACTTAGATGGGACTTCATTGCCAAGAACCAACTACCTGGTCAGCCAGATAGACAGTTCCACGTACCAACGCTATCTACAATCCTCGGACCAGAGGATATAGAGGACCTATCCTTGTGTCCGGTCAGAGCCCTGAAGATATATCTTCAAAGACTAAGACAAGGAGACGAAAATTCAAGCATCTGTTCATCCCATTATCCACAGAGACCAGCAGAAGTCTCAAGAATGACAATAGCGTTCTGGATGAGAGCCGTCATATTGAGAGCCTATAAAGCAGCAGGACTAGAACCTCTTAGAGTTTCCTGCACTAAGTCAGAAGCACTAGCTCTGCATGGAAATTGCTCTATATCAGCAATTATGGAGGGCTGCTTTTGGAAGTCGGACACGGTGTTTGCCAACCACTACCTCCGAGACATAGCCACTGAAGACGTCTCAGGCATTCACCAATTTGGGCCTCTCGTTGTAGCACAGCTACTAACGGCTCCACAAAGGCGCTGAGTTGGAAAATCTCACCCTTTATCACGTTGACTTGTTGATAACTTTTACTAAGGAAAAGTATTAGTTTGAAAGTCCATGCGCACAGTCTAGGACAGGCTAGCATGAGTGATTAAAGATCCTGTACGGGTAAAGATCTTACCTGTACTGTGAAGGGGTCGCAACTCATTTATGATAAAGATCTTATCATAATCTATGGGTTGTTATAAGATATCTAGTAATAAGAAGATACTAGTTTATCTGAAGCCACATGAATCAAGATGATTCAACTTGTCTGAGATGGAAGTAAGACAAGAAGTGGTCCCCCCGAGTTATAACGGAAGTTGGAAGAATAGGATCTCGGATATGCTGCTACACAGTTCCCAGGGTGGGGGTGTGGTGTGTGGTTTACATATCTAAGGACAGCTGATGAATCCAGGAAATGGCCTGACCCACCACCAATCCGTCGGATTCTATAAGCAAAAGATCATGTAAAATTGATATTTTTATACTTATCCTAAAATAAGGTCAAGCCCTCCTGACCTCCCTGCTGGAAACACTTCGGATTGCACAGCAGATGCAAGTGCTTGGGCAGAAAACAGGAGAGAGTGACAAGTAAGGCTGGTCACATGACTGTTTACGCGGGAAAAGGGAGGTAACTCGTGGGTGAGTGTATTTTTACGTCCGCTTCGGGAACTTCAAGGGATTCAAGTGTTCCACTACCATTCGAAAAGAAAAGGGAGATAAGCAAAAGATCATGAGTCAGGATAAGTATAAAAATATCAATTTTACTTGAAAAATTACATATCTCCCCATGATTGTATCAACATTCACTCAGCCAACATCCTCAGTCACTACTCCATTTCTGCCTCCAGTTCCGCCACGTCCAGAAGAACATGTCCATACAAGAGGAGTACGAGAGACTCAAGTTTCTGCTGTCTGACCAGAGTCTCACCCTCCTACCAGAGTATGAGCAGAGGATAAAGGTCAGTTGTTCAGACAGAGATATCTGACCCTTTTTAAATCGTAACAGAATAACCTATGAGCCTATGATAAATTATGGTTTTCTGTTTCAATTGAATTTATATTGTAAGTTGAAGATTATTCTGACTCCTATGAGGGGATGTGTAAATGGTAAAATACACAGAGAGGCTTTGGTGGAGAATGATTCTTTTCACATTTTTCATGGAATTGATGCTCATGATGTCAATCACTGGATTGTCTGGTCAAAACTTGATTATTTACAAACCGCCAGGGGCGGTGGGGTAGCCTAGTGGTTAAAGCATTGGCTCGTCACGCCGAAGACCCAGGTTCGAATCCCCACATGGGTACAATGTGTGAAGCCCAATTCTGGTGTCCCCCGCTGTGATGTTGCTGGAATATTGCTAAAAGTGGCGTAAAAACCAAACTCAGTCAGTCAGTACAAACCGCCATCATATAAGTGGAAAACTGCTGACTCAGTTTAACAACAACCAATCAATCAAGAACTTTATCATGCTATCAATAATGTACTTTTACTTTATTATATTGTTAATTATAAGAATCCAGAGAATTCAGGTGAACTTCAGTGTTCTTTTTTTCTTCATTTTCTGTGTTTGAATATTCTATTACTTGTAAGTAGATAAAATATTCAGTCATTATTGACCCTATTATGCAAACATTCTAAAATAAAACAGGTGAGCACCAGCGTCTTGTTTTATGGTAGAAATTCGGTTTAGGTTTTACAAGATCTGAACTACATCGATGCCAACAATGCAGTGCAGTTGAAAGGTCGCGTGGCTTGTGAGATCAGCACCCATGAGCTGATGATCACGGAGCTGGTGTTTGAGAATGCCCTCACCGACCTCCACCCAACGGACATTGCCGCTCTCCTCTCCTGCATGGTGTTCGAACAGAAGAAATCCAGCGAGCCTAACCTCACGGATACCCTCAAGAAGGTGAGATCAGACCTTTCACTGGGTTTGACAACATTAACATTGTTGAACAGGGATTAGGGACAGGTAACTTATTATATGGGAGGGGAACAAAGAATTTAAGAGGGAAGTCTTGAAAAAATGACATAGTGAAAGAGGTAGGGGGCACTAAAATGTTATCACAATCATGTGGGAGGCACGGAGGCTAAAAATGACACAGTTCTATTTTAAAAAATAAACATTTGATGAATTTGAACACTATTTAGGGAGTGGTCATGACAGCATGTTTTGGGGGGTTTAGTTAGGTATGAAGTTGCCTCCCTTTGGTGTACCAGGATGTTTTGTTTTTAATCGAAACATTCCTCTTGGTTATGATCCATGGTTTGTCACAATACCCTGGCTTTTAATAGCTTCCACAACCACACTGTTCAGCTGTATTAATAAAGCTTTGTGATACGTATATATTTAGGGCCATGAACGGATCCTGGAGATCGCGGACCGCATTGATCGGTTGCAGAAGGATCACAAGATGCAGGTACCAGCAGTGGACTACAAGATCGGCATCATGGAGGTTGTGTTTGAGTGGGCCAGAGGGATGGTTAGTAGTCTTTACTGTTTTCACCACCTATACAAAGGTGGATAGGAATCACCAGCGCTCCAGCTTGTCTCCCTGTGGGTTTCTGTGACAGAGTATGTGACCATAACTCCAAATCACATTCAAGGAACCCATCTGACTAAGTCATCTTAAGTGGTGAATTTCAGGGACAATGTATTTGTAATTACAGTAGGTATCAATACAGAATGATCACGTATCATGTATTACTGCTTTGCATTGTATATTGCATCACTATCCATTAGTAATGCCATGTTCAGGTTGTCATGGTTTTATGTCAGTCTGTCAAATATATGGGTTTCCACACAGTGAAACAATATTAGGGACTGTTCATAATTTATGGCTTGGGGGTGATGATTTTAGGGGTGAGGGTGTGTGTGTGTTTGTCACCCATTTTGTTCTGGAGAGGTAGGGGGATCATCAATTTTGTACACATGTACTAGGGGGAGTGGAGTCAGCAATTTTGTACATAGAAAGATTTTAAAATTATGGGATGTGGGTGGGGTCGGGTTGGGTGTCATTGATTTTGTACATAAATCTTTGGGGGGGTTCAGTCACATTGTACATGCTTCTCCATAAAAATCAGCATCACCCCCACCCCAGTCATAAATTATGAACGGTCCCTTACTTGACTCAACCACCCACACATTGGTTACCACCAAAAGTAAATTTGTCCGAATTTCAGCCATTTGCCGAGATCACTGACCTGACTGACGTCCAGGAAGGGATCATTGTCCGCTGTATACAGAGACTGCACGAGACGTTACATGATGTGCGGAATGCAGCCAGGATCATCGGAGACCCTGTGCTCTTCCAGAAAATGGAGGAAGCCTCCGCAATGATCAAGAGAGACATTGTGTTTGCTGCCAGCTTATACACGCAGTGATGTGTCCAGGGTGTTGGTGTAGTGGTGAGGACACTGTGACCTGTAGGTTGGGTCGACTCCCACACAGGTGTCACAGGTGAGCTCCATTCACCGACTGTTATAAATCTCCATTATCCATGGCAAGGAGTGATGCTTGTTGCTGAGACAATCTGACCTTAACACTCCTGGGATTGAGGCCACAGACTGTCGGGCGGAGTGGAGCCTAGTAGTTAAGAGTGTTTGCTCATCACACCGAAGACCCAGGTTTGACTCCCCACATGGGTACAGTGTTTGAAGCCCATTTCTGGTGTTCCCCGCCATGATATTGCTGGAATATTGCTAAAAGTAACGTAAAACCTTCACTCAGTCCCATACAACTGACCATCATGGCAGTTAAGAATGTTGAAGTTATCTCCCTTTGTACAGCTCAATATTATTATTATTATTACTACCTTGCGTAACATGATTCACTTGTCGGTGCTATCCCATGGTGCACAGCAGTCATGTGTAAGTAACAAATACGAACTGACCGTATTGAGTTGCTTTGGTCAGATACTATTTGTGAAGGTCTTTTGAGAATAACAATCGATCAAGCACTCCTCAATCTTGCTGATGTTGAAATATAAAACATCCTGTCAGTATACATCACTGATGGGTCAAAGGGTAAAATTGTACATTAATATAAGTTATTCTTTTTCAGAAGAAGTCCTCCTTGGGGTACATATAAGCATATAATTTTTCCTTATCCTGACTCATGATTATTGCTTATCTCCCTTCTCCTTCGACGGTCAAGTGGAAACCTTGAATCCTATTCAAATTAACTGAAGCGTCCGTACAATCACTCACCCCGAGTTACCTCCCTTGTTCCCGCCAAAACCCGTCCCACATGACCTGAGACTAGCTCAATCCTCTCTTGTCAGGTAGCAGGTCACGCTTCGATCTCCCGGAGCTTAGCCGTCGCTACTTGATGGGATAGGCTGTTCTGTTTGACCCCCCGGTGGTTGATGAGTGCATCTATGCCTTGGTTGCCCTAGGGGTGTCATCTGGCCACAGTCAAGTGTCGGCTTGTCAGGGTCGGCGCTTGCCTCCATTTACCTCCAACAACCAGGTGTTGAAGTCTGTATATCGCTCTTTTGAAGAGCAATACCGCAATGCCGTGCAGCAGCTAGGGAAGGGCAAGGGTGAAGGTAAGGGCAAGGCTGCTTCCTCTCAGCAGCCTCTTCAGGAAGGTAAGTCGGCGGGCGAAGTTAGCCTGCCGGCCCAGTAAGCTATCCTCCGAGAATGAGGCAACCCTGCAGTGGTTCGGCGCAGAAATGCAGTTGTTACACTGCCGACGATGTCGCCAGGATTCTACTGTGGTGCCTGTTACCCGATGTCCTCTGTCAGCAACGACGCAGACTACCTCTGTTCCTTTCCTCCTCCCAGCTTTCGGCCTTTGGTCCTAGCTCACATCAATGTGCTAGAATTCCCAGCTCGATTGAAGGACGGTCTGGTGGACTCCAGAGTAGCACTACTCTGCTTCTTGCAGTGGTGGTAATCCTTGTTGATGAAGTACTCTGTTTTCCCACGCGGATTCTATTCCTCACCCATTTTATTGGTGATGGTATATGGTGCTGGTTTTATCCCTGTTCTACTCTGGTATATATATACAGTCTCCGTTAGCCTTAGCTTATACTTTCCATTTTTTCCACGCTTTTTGGCTCAGTACTATGGACAGTAGTTTGTTTTAATAAGTCCCCTGTATTCACTCTCCACTTCCACCTGAGGTTGGGAGGTGGAGTTTATCTCCTTCTCCTTGCTCACGGCCCATCAAGGCCAATGGGCATATAAGCTTTGACATCCATCCGGTCCTTGGACCACTGTAGCCGCTCCCAATTGACATCGCACCTATCCACATGACTAGGTAAGGTTATAGATTGTAGATCCGTTACTTTGGATCAATGTGTCAGACAAAATACCACTCCCTGTTTTATTGTCTTTGGGAGTCTGTTTTATGCTTATATGTACCCAAGGAGGACTTCTTCTGAAAAAGAATTATACAAACCTGTAGAGGTTATGAATTCTTTGAAGAAAGTCCTCCTTGGGGTATGGCCACCCGCCTCCCCTCATTCTGTCTGATTACGTTCAGCATGAAAAGTGAGGTGCAGAGGTTGTCGGCTAGAGTTACCTGCTCTTGCCGGTAGGGGGTCCCTCAGGGGTCCTGTAGGGGTGGTCTCACAAGACAAAAATCGTGTGTTTTTGTTTTGTAAATATTTTTATTAAAATATAGTTACAACTGTCGTAGGTTTTTAAAATGGACATTTTAGTGCTTATATGTACCCCAAGGAGGACTTTCTTCAAAGAATTCATAACCTCTACAGGTTTGTATAAATTTCAAGGCCCCTTTGGGGTAAATTAATTAATTTCTTCATGTGTTAAGAGCAGTGATTACTTACCCAACTTACAAGGTTTACAAGGGTTTGAAAAGGCCCAGATTTGCAAGGTGTGACTTGAAAAATAATGAAATGGCCTGAATTTGGCAATAGAAATGTTATATGAAGTTTGAAGATGTTCATGTTTGAAGAATATATTTATAAAATAATGTGAAGCTTGTTCCATGTTTTTGTCTTGACGAAAGTCACTAAAATATTGTTGAGTTTCTCTAATTGTTTGTATTCATGTCAATATTTTTACTTACAAACACCAAAGCATTGTTATACATGTAGGAGTATTTGAATTACCAGAATTAGTATATATTGTTTTGATATGATATCATATCGGTAGGAGAGCAAACTCGAAACGAACACCACGCACGTCTATTCTACAGAACAACAGCATGAAAAGTGAGGTACGAGGTAGACGGCGAGAGTTACCTGCTCTTGGCTGTAGGGGTCCGTGGGGCTCTGTAGGGGTGGTCTCACAAGACAAAATGAGTTTTTTGTTTTGTAAATATTTTATTGAAAAATATAGTTACAACTGTCGTAGGATTTAAAATGGACATTTAAATGCTTATATGTACCCCAAGGAGGACTTTTCTGAAAAAGAATCAGGTTTATGAATGTGCTTAAACTTAAAAGAATTTTTAAAGGATGGACAAAAAATATTGAAAGTAATGGAGAGTGACTGCAAAAAGGTAAGTTGAAGGTCGTCCAGAGCTGTATGATATGTGAGAATTGTTACAGTGTACTTCAGTGATATCTGTCACTGTGATGGTCTGACATTGTAATGTGTATTGAATGGGTAGAGTGGGGAATAAATGTCATAACATACACAGTTGTTGTTGTCTATAGCCTATAGTATAGGTGGAGGATACCAACAAACCATAGCTTCACAACCGTTTATTGTCATAGTGGGAATAAATGGAATGAATATGATTGTGTTTGTTGCTGAGGTATTTCTACACATCAGGATCCCCATGGGATCTCAGGGTAAAATAGGTCCCCACTACCTATTCTTGTCTCCCCCCATAAGGACTCTGGGGTGCAATAGGTCCCAAGTACCAGTGTTTGGTTCCTCAAAAGGATTCCAGGATAGAATAAGGTCCCTACTCACCATTTTTGTCTCCCCCATAAGGATTCTGGGGTGCAATAGTCCCAATTACAGTAGAATAGGTCCTACCTACCCATTTTGTCTCCCCATAGGGTTTCTGGGGTGAAGTAGATTCTAACTACCAACGTTTGTCTTCCCTTTGTGGAGCACAGTGGTGTAGTGGTTAGCATGCTGGCCTCTCACGCCAAAGGCCCGGGTTCGAATCCCGGAAGGAGACACCAAAATTTGTGACCTGGGTCTCATACTGTGTTGTGTTCTAATCATCTTCAAATAATGTCTCAAAAATCATTTGTTGGATTTTAATTTTTAAAAGTTCTTTTCTCTTTCCATCCCTCACACGTCTCAACTGGTAACATATTAACTTTGCGAAGATATCATCTTCTGCATCAGTATGCGACATGTCAGTTTGAAAAAGTACTGTTGGACTAGCAAAGGAGGAAGTAGGCGTGGTATGAGACAGAATGGGTGTGGTATGGTGACTGACAGGACGTTGTGGGACTGGATGGGGCACGCTAGGAGTTGCTGGTATAGATGGCAGCACTTGACGAGGATTTGATGGTTCTGAGTCCGACCGTTGCTCCGCCTCATACACGTACATCTCAGGTTCACGTTTGATAAGTTTCCGTGGAACTGACTCATCATCCCAATCCACGAAGTAATGGTTGCCTTGGCGATTGTCCTGATTAGCATCTGGGCTGTCCAGTTTACTTCCCTCTGATTGGTCGTCTGCGTCTTCAAATATGTGCTCGATGCTGTCACTGTCAAGGTTTACTCTCATCACTCCGGGAGAGTCAGTATTGATGCTCTCCTGAAAGCAGACGTCATAAACAATGATCAGTATTGATGCTCTCCTGAAAGCAGACGTCATAAACAATCATCAGTATTGATGCTCTCCTGAAAGCAGACGTCAAATACAACAATTTGTACAATCAGTGTTCTCCATCCACCTGGTCTTGCATCCATTCTTACCAGATGTACACAGGTAGCAATAACTGCCCAGAGTATGATTCTTAGCATATCAGCATCATATTGTAGTTTGGTGAGAACTGTATCACTTCAGCTTTCTCCACACAGTAAGCTGACCCACCATTTTGTTGAATTTACAGTTGGCTCAAAGTAAACTTGGTCATCACTTATTTAATCATCATTTTAGGGGCAGTGGGGTATCCTAGTGGTAAAAGGGTTGGCTTGTCACGCGAAAGACCCGAGTTTAATTCCCCACATGGGTACAATATGTGAAGCCAATTTCTGGTTCCCCGCCGTGATATTGCTGGAATATTGCTCAAAGCAGCATAAAACCATACTCACTAACCATCATTTTGCAGTTGTGTAAAACACCCGATAATTCAAACTTTGACATAACAATGTTTCACTGTATTGTTAAAAATGGCCGTAAACACGATGACTCAATCACCAATTACTTGTAGCTGAACTTTCAGACTCTGGTTTGTGAGTACAGGAGGTAGGGATACAGCACTAAGATATTCTGACATGTGTCCCCCCAACAAATGACCTATGAAATAGCTTTATCTCATATAATCAGTTGATAATGACCCCTCACCATTTTCGAATGGATTTTCTTTAATGTGCGGACTTGTGTCCGGAGGAAGTTATCCAGCATGTCATAGTACGGCCATTTGGACTTGTAGGTATCCTCCCCATCACCCTTCATCCGGCTGTGGACCTGACTCACGAGTTCCTTGTTTAGTTCCTTCGTGTAGTACGTCCGCAAGTTGGCGAACTTCTTGATAACTGCATGATCTGGAGACATAAATTATACCTTAAGAGAATGTTGAAAATATAGCATATTTATAATTATTCAGGAATCCAGATCTTCAGGCAGATTGCTACTGAAGATTTGCAAAGGAAAACACCTTTGACTAAAACTATACATATTTTGGTCCTGAACAATCAGATTTAAGGAAATGTAACCTACTTGCACCCAGTGCAACCGTAGGTAATACCCTTGTTGCACCAGACCAAAAGTGGTTGCACCTGCTGCTCAATGTAAATTATACATAATGCTTGAGTTTGGGGTTTGGTGATTAAAAATATTCTGGGTCTGTTAAGATCATTTACGTTAAGCCAGTTCCTCATCATTCTGTTTTCTGGCTGAAGTCTGTGTTCTTTGACTGGTGGTATATATATATATTGTTTGGTATAAATATCAGGTTGCATTTTGCAGTTGAACTTCTAAATGCTTAAGGGGCGGTGGGGTAGCCTAGTGGTTAAAGCGTTGGCCCGTCACGCCGAAGACCCGGGTTCAAATCCCCACATGGGTACAATGTGTGAAGCCCATTTCTGGTGTCCCCCGCCGTGATGTTGCTGGAATATTGCTAAAAGCGGCGTAAAACCAAACTCAGTCAGTCAGTCTAAAATGCTTAAATCGTGCCCTGTATAACATGTATTAAATTCAGAAACCCAGTTCTTCAGGCTGACTGAGTCTGAAGATTTGTTGAGGACTATACCTTTGACCAAGATGGTCCTTAACAAATATCACGGAATGTATATCATTACTTCAACACTGGATATCGTCAAGGTATTTTATTCAATGATAAGGCCAGACCAATTTTATTTATTGTTTTACAGATTTTTGTCATCAGAGAACCTAAAGGCAGGAGAGAAAACAAAATCACCTGTCAATATAATATTATAGAAACAAATAAGGGAACACATGAAATTACAAGTGTTCCTCTATTCTTTTCCAGGTTTCTTCACAAGGTATGTATTGCACAGTGGGTGAAATTCTGGAAATAAATAAAGGAACACTTGTACTTTTATGTGTTCCTTATTCGTTTCTATGTGTATATTATACTTTTGGCAATTTATGAAGTGTACCGGTATGTGAGGCAAGACGCAATCTAAAAAACTTTTTTGTCAGTTTACAGTTTTTGCCAACAAAAACTTTAGAATTATATTTTTTGAGCGGGGAAAATTAATTTTTATTTTTTCAACAAAAAAAATGACCGGCAGATCCGTAAAACAAGGAATAAAATTGGTCTGGCCTAATAGAAAAATTCATTTGTTACATAGCCAGCCATGTGACAAAAGGATTCATTGCTTATTGTTTAGTAGTAGTAGTAGTAGTCAGTGTATCAGAGGTAGGCATATTTGAGATTCAAACACATTGATGGTGGTTTTCCCTTCCACATAAGGAAGTTGGGGACTTAAGCCGCTGGTCCCAAGTCCTAGCCTAATGTAATAATCTGTTTGCAACCCTATAAGGCCCCCTGGTTATGGCCATGGTGGACAGTGATGAACATTCTGCAACCTTACATGGACCCCTGGGTGGCTGAGGACAGGTGGTGAGATCTGGTATATTATTTACTATACAGCATGTTAATTATAACATTCGGTGCAGTAGTATTCTTTACTTGCAGTTTGTGCTGCCATGTCTTCCGATGAACATGTTGTTCCAGCTGTGAATTCAGACAGCTCATGGATTCTACCAGAGAACAGCGGTACACCATCGATGGTCTTGTTTGTTTGTTTAATACTAGTATATCACTCAGTAATATTTCAGCTACTTGTAAATAACTCATCGAGTATGACCACTCTGTGGGTTTGGTCTATGGTAGCATTTAATACATTTGTAGCAAATACCATATAATGCGAAATTTACGCTGGTCCTGTGGTCCCTGGCTAGTAAAAATTCATCATGACCACTAAATGATAAGTTTGCAGTGGTCCTGGTGGCCAGTGAATTTTGTATTGATGGTTAAGTAAATCTATGAATGTTATTTTGGACCAGTGAAGTACAGACAGGACCACTAATTATTGTCCACTCAGTGGTCTGGTGGGGAATATTAAAAGGTTTCTTTCCCTGATAATAAGATAGTATATGGTCACTAATTTGTAGGCAGATAGCAATAGCATGTGGGTATTTACATAGCTAACCTCCATACACTCAGTGCTAACCATAATACTCCCATCAACAGATCAGTGTGCACTCAATTTTCAGTCTCACTCTTATCTCCATGGGGAGTAAACTACCTAAGAGTGTAAGAGTGAGTGAGTGAGTTGGGTTTTATGCCGCTTTATACAATATTCCAGCAATATCACGGCAGGGGACACCAAAATGGGCTTCAGCAGTGTATGAAATAAGCAAAAACCACAGCCAGACATCAGGGCTGGTAACTTCAAAATGTTACCAGTCCAAAATGGATTAACCAGACCAGACACCAAGATATGACTCCGATGTATATAACATCTAAATTTTGTATCAGACCGTCCGTTTGTTTATACTTTATACAAAAAACAACTGCTAAAACAACAACTGCTAAAACACAAGATTTCTCCAGATATTTTTACATGATCGTTTTATAAGATCTTGGTCAATATCTCAAACGTTTAACAATAATCCATTTGTAATAACCTTGATGAAAACACGCACCTGTCCAGTTCATTTGCTGACCAATTTCCCTGACCACCTCGCTCTTGAAAGTCCTGTCACGATAGTGCTGACTCCTAGCATCCCAAAGGGCAGGCTGTGCCGATATCAGACGGATTAACTTCATGTTGGTCTCGCGTTCTTCTCTATCAATATCCATAGCGGTTGCCATATCTACTTAGACAGACACTGTTTGTACATATATCCCACCCACGGTACCGACAATGTTGCTTTGGACGGTATTAAAACTGTACGTTGTTATTTACAGACAAATCGGCCGACACAAAATGGCGGCTTGCAATGTCTGCGTGAAGGCAAATTAGAGGCTATTTTTAGCAGACATGGCCCAGCCTGTCTGCAGAGAGTCTGTATCTGGGTCACATGCGGCAGATGTCAGCGCGTTGAGCGGGATTATCTGTTGGGGGAAGAAGGCAGGTGGATCGAGGCGAGAAAAGCATTCCTTCTTCGTAATATATTAGTCTTATTGCAGGATTTCTTTACTGAATGAACTGACTTTATGCACTTGAAAGTTAAACATCAAACTGATACAATTTTAAGACATAATTTTAAGCGCATACAGCGACTATGTAAGTCTGATTGATTCAATTATGATTATGTAAAACAACAAAATGTGATTGTTTAAGGATGTAGAGCGAATTCTTCTCACAATTCAAGTATAATAATGTAAAACAACAAAAACGATTGTTTCAAGATATACAGCGCTTATATCGTAATCAAGTGTAACAAACAACGATTGTTTAAGATATACAGCCTATATATCATAATCAAGTGTAACGATGAAAAACAACAAACAACGATCGTTTAAGATATACAGCGCATTTATCACAATCAAGTGTAACGATGTAAAACAAAACAAAACCACACGGTTTTTTTCAAGATATACAGCGCTTATATCATAATCAAGTGTAACCATATGAAACAAGAATAAACGATTGTTTAGATTGTATACAGCGTAGATCTATATTTCATATCAATTCAAGTGTAGTGATGTGAACCAACAAAAGCTATTTGAGGATAGACAGCCGCTAGTTCATATCAGTACAAGCATGATGATGTAAAACAATTAATTAATTAATTAATAAATAAATGAATAAATAAATATGGACTCGATTCTGACAGGCCAATCAGAGGCTTCAAAACACACTCAGATAGAGAACAGTACTTCTTTATAAATCGTTGTTGGTGACATTCTGATATAATAATATTCACACATACAGGTTACAAAATGCACCGTTGAGTTACTCTTGTTTAATTCTTTGGTTATGTCGTAGTGAGGTGAGGTGATTCTTGAGGGTGAAATTGGGTTATCGTCGTAGAATATTTCGCAACAATATGTGGTAGTGTTCCCAACAATACAGTATTACGACATCCTAAAGCTTTATGTGAACAATCGGTTGTGGGTATCGAATCGAACCCACGCTCTCAGGGTCAGGCACATAATCTGAGTGAGTGAGTGAGTGAGTGAGTGAGTGGGTGGGTGTAGTTGAGTTGAGGTGAGGTGCGGTGCGGTGCGGTGCGGTGCGGTGCGGTGCGGTGAGTGAGTGAATGAGGTTTACGACGCTTTCAGCAATATTGCAGCAATATGACGACAGGGTACACCAGGAATGAGCTTCACACATTGTACCAATGTGGGGAATCGATCACCCGACATCGTACCCGGTATATTATATTTTGTTGATCACTGTTATTGTTACCAGGCTACCGCTGGCCCATCTTTCTTTAAAATCATCGCGAAACACCTGGGATGTTACACAATGAGCTATGAATCTTGTGATCCTGTTATCACAGACCCGAGAAGATCTGGGTTAGAATTTGCCTTCATTAACCCATGCTTGTCGTAAGAGGCGATTAACGGAAACGGGTGGTAAGGCTCGCTGACTTGGTTGACACATGTCATCGTATCCCAATTGCGCAGATCGATGTTCATGCTGTTGATCACTGGACTGTCTGGTCCAGACTCGATTATTTAGAGACCACCGCCATATTACTAGAATATTGCTGAGTGTGGTGTTAAACAACAAACAAGCAAAACAAAGAATATCACCAGTTTAAATTGTTGAAATCTTGTTTATTGACAGAAGCGTTCGTAAAATATCTACATACTGACCAGAATGTGCTTGCTTTCAGCGTTTGTGCTTAAATCCCCGACATCTCATGTTAGACTAACGCTTAGTCTCTGAATGTATATAATTTTGATTGTAACAAATAAACCCATTTAAATTGAAAAGGAGCCCCAGGGAGACCAAAGATTCAGAAGCTGGAGAAATCTAAACTTGCTTCATTTAGGGCTTAAGCATTGCAGGGAGGGCTAGGCGGTAGGGAAAATAATATGGTTCAGGGACTGTGAGACAGACTAATCTCATGTCTGCGCTGCCTGATGTGGGTAAAACCTTACAACAGCAAGATGTGAGCATCCACCTGAGTTGTCAGAAACGCCGCAAGTTGAAATAAGAGCAGTCGCCATTCTGTTCACTCGATCCACTTTATGACCGAATTGCAATGGTGACCATCAAAAGACGTGGGTCCAACAACCGTAATTCACGCACATTAATGTCTGACTTACGATCGTCGCAGAGTGAGACTTTGGCACTCATTTCACAAAGCAAGCGACCATTTCTGCGGTCTAGTGGACGCGAAATCCCCTTTCCACTTTACCTAGTTATCAAACTTTAGAGAACATACTCGTGACGATTGCCTCAACTACAAAAACAAGTAATATCTTCCTTGAATGGCCTGTGACTATTTCGGTCCCTGCTGTTGATGGATCTGAATCTAATCAGTATCGCCTAAATATAAATAACCAAAAGGAATAATAAAACAAAATAGAACAAAAGCAACAAATCTTCAACACCCCAAACCCCTATATAAATAAATAGATAAATGAATGAATGAATAAATAGATAAATAGATAGATAGATAGATAAAACCCCAAGATATTCTAGCGATATCACGGCGGGGGACACCAGAAATGGGATTCACACATTGTATCCATGTGGGGAGTCGAACCCGGGTCTTCGGCGTGACGAGCGAACGCTTTAACTTCTAGGCAACCAAAACCACCCTGAAACTTACTTAAAATGCTACGCTGATATCTGCTCATCAATAAACTGACAGTTCTACAGATATAGAACAGCCTTTTAACAGTCTGGATGTCAGTAACTTATTGGCATTTTCTTGACCCATGCCATTCCAAAGCCTGTGTAACCAATCAGAATGGTCTCAGAATAACGGACAGGTAAAACTCTTCACCAGGAATATGATTCAAAAGACTGGTAAATGAAGACTAAAAGATAATGAAAGACAACATTATTCCAGGATCTATTGCATTTTACTGACAATTGGTACTTCGAATTTCAGATTGATCGATAACGTGTAGCCTGCGCCAGAAAGGTAAATTTTCAATTCCTGGGAATCGTGACGGGGTTTTCGGCGTGTTAGAGAGACGCCTCAGCTGTCAGCCCAACTGCCCGTTTCTCAGACAAAATGGCACAAGTCTGTGAACTAATGACCCAGTGTTATTGAAACCGAATCATGCCAGACATACCTTATCGTAGATAGCGAAGATTATATAATACTCTGAGGTCATGCTCCGTGCTATTTAAATGGCCTGCTTCAAACCTGAGATTATAAATAGTGTCGGTTATGTAATACTCCGGAGTCGTTCTCCGTGCTATTTAAACGAATCTCTGGGTTGCTTCAGAGGAGTGATTATCGATTATAGTGAAGAGTATGTTTTACTTTGAGGTCATATCAACATTTCCTACCATGTGTTTTGTTCATGTTTTTCTTCACATCAGTTAAATTTGCCATTCCCCGATTAGATTAACCTGGAATGTCCGTTGACAATAGACGAATAGACGTTAACGAATACGAACGTACCACGTAAAATTAGTACAAGCGATTGTATCAAACGTTCCACTGAGGTCCAGGTCTATTTGTTTGTTCGTTTGTTTATTTGTTTCACCTCACACTCTGCAACATTACAATATAGGACGGCTGCCTGTAAATAATGGGGTCTGGACCAGACAATCCAACGATTGACATCATGAGCATCGATCTACACAATTGGGATACGATGACATGCAGGAACCATGTCACCGAATCTGACCACCCATAAGTCGACAAGCATGGGTTGCTGAAGACCAGTTCTATCCCGGATCTTCACGGATGTCCGGAGTAGTAGAGGTCAAACGCCGGTTTGCCTGGCATCATCAGTTATTGACTCGATTCCCCACATGGGTACAATGTGTGAAGCCCATTTCTGGTGTCCCCCGCCGGGATATTGCTGGAATATTGCTAAAAGCGGCGTAAAACCATACTCACTCACTCACACATTCAGTTATTGACAGTCAGGTGTGATATAAACAACCGTACAGGTCTGGTGTTGGTGAAGAATGAAAAACAGGAAATGGTTAATCGATGAATACGGGTATCACACTTAGAAGATGAAGCTACTCTGTTTTCAATTTTGCGGTCCTTTATCGTTGATTTAAGACCGCGAAACGCGAAATTATGATTTGGACGAAAAGTCTTTAACGGATTGATTTGATCGGTTTGATTAACCTTGACAATATTTTAGTCAGATCCGATTTTCAAATGTATACTTTCATTAATCCGCCACTTTGACAGGGATATAGACTAAATCTACATACTTTCAGAATAAACAATTTTCAATGAACTTAATAAGATATAGTATAAAGGAGCAAAGATTCTTTCTGTCTTCACTGCCAAATAGTATTGACTTGCCACGGATATGACCCTAGTTTCCCGGAGCAGAGGTTTGAAGCAATCATCTGCACATTACAGTGCCTAACATTTACTCACCCAAACCTGGTTTGCGGTAAAAGCATTAACTTGACAATACCTTTAGAGTTCTAGTCTTTCTGAATGGTGCCAATATAAAAATAGGAATTTGAATAGCGATAATCTGTTCTGCAGAGTGAGTGAGTGAGTTGAGTTTTACGCGGCTTTCAGCAATATTCTAGCAATATCACGGTGGGGACACCAGAAATGGGCTTCCTACATTGTGCCCATGTGGGGAATCGAACCCGGGTCTTCGGCGTGACGAGAGAACGCTTTAACCACTAGGCTATCACCCCACCGCCCCCTGTTCTGCAAAAGGGTCGTGGATAAAAGTGTCTGGGTAGCCCAATGGTTAAAGCGATCGCTCGTAATCTCTTGAAGACCCGGGGTCTATTCGCCACATTTCTGGCGTTTTCCGCCGTGATATTGCTGGAATATTGCTCAAAGCGGTTGAAAACCATACTCACTCACTACAATCAGCCGTACCCTAGCCTGTGGAACCGTGTAGTCTGACAGTGTCATGGGGCTAACGTCCGCACGATTGACACTAAGCGTTAGATAACGGTTGACATACATGGAACCTACGTTA